TGGAGTCAAGTATCATATGGTTTCACTTATTTGTTGAGCATAACAAATAGCATGGAGGACATGGGGAGTTAGGAGAAGGCAGCTGGGGGAAATTGGAAGGGGAGGTAAATAATGAGACTGGACTCTGAAAAACAATCTGAAGGGTTTGAAGAGGTTGGGGGGTGGGAGGTTGGGGGAACCAGGTGGTGGGTATTAGAGAGGGAACGGACTACATGGAGCACTGGGTGTGGTACAAAAACAATGAATACTGTTATGGTGAAAATAAATGAAAAAAAAAAAAGGCAAAAAAAAAGCACTACTAATTTAAGGTTGCTTCTCATAGGTCAGTACTAGTGAGTAAACCTCTGACTAAAGTATTTAGTCATGTATTTATTAAAGGCAGCACCCTTGCATTACATTTTAAATTCTCCACAGCATGTTTTTTGGTCACATCTCTCTTGGTTAGCATTATACATTTTTGCACACACTGACATTTGATCTGGGAAGTAAAGATTGATACATAGACACATGCCTTAAACTGGCAAATTCTTTAGTTTCTTAATCTTATTAAATCATATCCACCGCCTGCCACCATGAACTCATACACTTCATTTCTCTCCTTCTATCTTTACTTAACAAGAATAAAGAGTAAAACCTGTTACTCCCCACTACAAATGTTGACACCATGTCAGTTTATTCAACCCTCTCTTGATTTTCTCTTGCATTCCCAACTCCTAATTCTTTGCTATGCTGCACTATAGCTGGGTTCTATCAGAGGAATGACATCAGAATTAATCCAAATCAGTTGGTAGTATTTAAAAATCCCCATAAACACTGCAGATTTTTTTAAAAAAATGTCTAAATATTTAGGGAAACTTACCATCCAAAGATTCATTTTACTACAAAAAGGAACAGACTTTCTGGGGTCTGAATGGATTCGTACTTGAAGATACACCAGTTAGCAGGGGGTCGTGTTGGGCATTCTGCAGACAGAATTGTTTCAGATCTGCAGCTGCTTGGGAAACCTGTAAAAGACAAAAGGAGAGAGGGTAGTGGGAAGAGGTGAGAAGGTTTTAATGGAGGTTTTTTCAAATCTCTGAAATACCTGCAATAAACACTTTTCTTTTTTATTTTAAAAAAGATTTGATCCACCCAGGCACCCCTGTAAACATTTTCCTAGGTCAAAAGAAGATATATACTAATGGACGGTCAACGGTCATATATATACTGAGCTCATACTCAAAACACTACATGTACAGAGAATTAGTTTATAGTAGGTTTTCTTTTGCTTGCTTATTAAAAGCATCAAATGATCTAAGTATATCTGCAAAATAAAACCTATCTTTCTAGTTTATTAATAAACTTCAGAGGTATTCCACCTTCAGGCTACTCAACATGTTGCTTTTTATTAAAAACCGTATGTTCAATAAAAAATGTGTTAAAATTCTAGCCAATGGTTACTTTGTCTTGAAAGCAGTATTATTGGAAAAATGCTACCATGAACATTATGTTCTAAATCTGAACCATTCCATTCGTTGTTTTGGTATTATGTACCATCTGCTGTTTAAGGTTACAAAACTGTGACAGCTTTCTGCTTAGTGTCATGCGACTGAAAGGCTGATAGCAAACTTCAAATTATTTTAATAACTTCACTGAGCAGCGCCTGCCTTTAAAAAGCAGTGTATTTGCTTAAATGTGATTTTAACTCTTTTCATACACATATGCAATGCCACTCAAATGGGACTTAAGTATCACTTAAACGTCTACTATTTGTATATATCCTGATAAGGTGATGCAGGATACCAAAACAAAGAACTGAATGGTTCAGACGTAGAACAAGAATAACTAAAAGATGCCCCAAATGAATATAATATCCTCAGTCTTGAGGTTTCAGGAAGATGGGAAAAATAATCATTTTAGTTTCAACTGTTCCCAAGGAGGGTGAGAGCAGGTGTCCAGTCCAGCTGGGCATTTGCCTTTGAAAGGGAGGTAAGAGCATCACAAATCCTCTCTATAAGAAAAAATCCTGCAGATTATTGCTGTAGCCCAGACATCTACCTAGTAAAAAGATACACGATCCTGAGATGAATCTCAAATCTGAAACCTAGTTGTATGTTTGGCTTATACAATAGTCCAGAGTAATAATGAGTTCCATAAGTTTATTTAGCAACTGTGTAAAGTAGTATGTAAATACCTGGTACCAAGTGCTAAAAAAATGGCCACCCTGTTTACCCACCGAAAGAAGGTGTATAGCTAAAGTGGGGGGGGTATGCATGGTATCTTCTGCACAATCTTAAAACTTGGTTTCATTCACATTAACTAGCAGTAAGGATAAATTATCTATTAACTTTCTGCCTAAAGGGGAGGCAGGCTCCAACTTAACTAATTCCCTTTCACAAACTTCTCAAGTGCTAGTATGAACCAAATATAATCTAGGCACTGAGAATACCAAGAACAGCCAGGTCCTTGCTACGGAGGTGACAGTTCAGGGGAAAATACAGACAAGGAACTCTTTGGTAAAGAGTGGTTAGATCGTGCCTTAAGGGAAGGTGTCTCTGGGGAGGTGACATTTAAACTGAGATCTCACTGACAAGACAAACAGCTAGGTAAATACCAGTGAGAAACCAATCAGAATTCCAAGCAATGAGGAGAACTAAGACAAAGGCTCTAAAAGTCAAACAAGCTGCCAGCCCCTAAAGCATTATAATATTCACCATCCAGGATGTTGAAACCCTATAATCCTGGCAGAATTATTAGTGCCCTCTTTCACTCTCAGAAGTGTCCTGGGTTGGCTATACCATTAATGTATGGTCACACTACATATGGTAGGATTTGTCAAGCATTTGTGAAAATTTCTATCAAGTGTACTCAAACAAAGGTTTAACAATAAACTGTGCTAGTTAAAGTAAAAGATCACCCAAAGAAAGCATCTAGCACAGAGTCATGGATAAAATAGGTATAGAAAATAAAATCAAACTAACTACACTTTACAACAGATTTAAAGAAAAGCTCACTGAAAGTTCCACAGCAGGATTCCCTCCCTTCTTTGCTACAGCCCCTAGCAGATGAAATAGATGGCTGTAAGGCTCCTGAGCGGAAGCCTCCTGAAGAACTGAAGTATAGGGAGCAGGCATCACTCTGTGGAGAGTTACTGGAGTAGCTGGGTTTTTCATAGCGAAACCCTCATAGTACTCTGAGGGCTTCCATTTCACTTTGAGACAAGGACTAAGTACCTCTACTGAACACTTAACTGCTTTCAACCAGTCCCCCTTTTTCTGTCCCCACCCCGCAATTTTTCTTTCCTGAGCCGCTCCAACTATGATAAAGGCACACCTGAATGATAATGTAAAGGTTAAACATCTGATTTCGATTTCAGAGTTAAATCCAGCCAAGACTGACCATAAACCACAGGGATGAGTGAAGTAATCTGGATATGAGAGAAATGGATTCCAAACAGCAATGGAGTCTACAGCAATTAAGCCCAGGATGGGAGGGGAATCCCACACCAAAACTGATGGGAATTTCCCTTCCGTCCTGAGGTGACCACAACTGAGTAAGCTAGGTCCCTGACATTTCTATTTAAGGAAATAGGTAAATGGGAGGCAGCTTACTCCACAGAACATTTCAGGGAGAAGTAAACACTAGCCTCCAGTACATAATCAAGTCATCTTGGAAATTGGCTGTTTCTTTCAACGGAGTGCATGATTTATATTCTTCTGTTTCTTAATTACAAGAAGTGTTTCACTTGTAAACTGACCTCCTCCAGAAAGAAGCCAATCTACTTGGATTTTAAAAATCAGGAGAAACTTGGAATAGCATCTCAATGTCAGGTTATCCTACCAACACACACAAAAGGTTTTTTTCCCTAAAGTAAATGCCTAAGGTCAGTGTTAACCAGACGGCAAAACAAACAAGACCTGTCCACCCTCATCAGTAAGATATGCAAACTAGCAGATACTCCCAAGGTCAGATCACAGCAAACTGTGCCAAATAAGTATGAAATGCACGCTTTGTACGAGGCTGTACAGGGCACTAGTGGTAACCTTAGGCACTGGGGACGTTTTGAGAACAAACGTGCTTCTTTAACCTGAAGTTTGCGTTTGCAAAAATTCGTTTTCAAGTATGTGTTCGATGGGTAAGAAAAGCGGGAGGTAAGAATCTAGTATTAAAAGTAGAGGATTTGGGAGCGTTCTAACTTGAAAACAGCTTCTGTTCTAAATTGAAAGTCAGATAAAACTGTCCAGTGAAAAGAAAGGGTGGAGTCTGGTAAGCTAACGACTGGAAGGGTGCGGACGGCGCTCGGAGGAGCAGCTGTTGCCCAAGCCAGCCACCGAGTCACTGCAGAGGGAGGGAGAGAGAAGGGCGACCGGAATGCGGAAAGCCGCCTTTCAGCCCCGGGACCAGCCGCCTTGGAAAGCCCTGGCCGCGGAAGGGCGCACTAACCAACCCCCGAAGCCAGGGCGCCGACTCGCGCCGCCACTTCTCTAAAGTTGGCCGCTCCCGGATCCTCGCCGTGGAGCGCGCGCCCTCCCCAAGCGAAGCTGGAGCAGGACTCCAGCGCCGCGGATCCCAGCCACCTCGACCACCCGATCCCTCCCTCCGCCTCCGCCCTCCCCTCCCCCTCGGCCGCCCGCCCCCGCTCACCTTCACGCGGTTGAGCCCGGCTTCCAGCCGGAGCTGTTGAACCACTTTCTTCATAGCGGCAACACTGGAGGAACCAGACATGGCGCTCTCAGGAGCGGGGCAGATTTTCGTGCGTGCGTGGATCTGTCGCTTTGTGGGTCCTCGGGGCCAGACGGTGGGGCAGCGCGGCGGGGGGCGGGGCTCGGAACTTTGTCTCTTAAGTTTCCGGTTCTTTGCCCAGCGGCTCCACCCGCGGCGCGCATGCGCGCTCCTCCTCCGCGCTTGGTTCCAGCGCCTCACCCCCGGGGGGAGCCGAGCCTGAGCGAGGGTGGAAGGGAGCGAGAAGGGGCGGAGCGGACTGTGGGCAGAGTAGCTAAGGGACCCGAGCGGTAGCGGACGCCCGTCTTCTCCTTCCTCTCTGAGAGGCCGACTTAGGAGAGGTAAAAAGAAAAGTTTGTTATTAGCCGCCAAGACCCGAGGAGGGACCCTGAAGAGGACTGGTGAGGGAAGTCAGGTGCGTGAGGGAGTTTATAAAAGTGTGGTGGCGGGGTGACAAGGAGGTTCTAGCTTTCCTGACGGCGTTGGTGGCAGAGGTTGAGGGAAGAGAAGGTCCCAGTCAGGGTGTGTGGGAGCCAAAAGTACCGGGTGCGAGTCACTGACACCCTGTCTCCTTGGAGACGTGTCTCTAAGTGACTCGAGTTTGTTCAACGGGCGGCCGGTCTTACAGGCTCCTCTCTGCGGTCAGACCACTGAGGCGGAGAGGGGGCACGGAGGTTTCTGTAACTGACCTGTGGGAGCCGGGAGCAGGGGTGCTGGTTTGCTAGGGAAGAGCGCTTTTCGAGATTTAGCTTCTTTCGCCTCTTACCTCTTGGTTTTCTCGAAGAGGTGAACAAGCTAAGGTACTTGGTGAAGATTACAACCATCTCCTCTTGTTATCCGTTTCATTTGGGGGATTAACGCTTATTATACCTGGACAAAACATTTTTTGTGTTTCGGGAAGGTTTGTTCTACGTTTCAGTTGTATCTCATTACCTGTTGCCTGAAATTGAACTTCAGAGGAGTTTCAGTGGGATCTAATCAAGCAAAATAGGCTTAGCCAAAGTGTGTTTCACCCATGGAAACAGATTTATTATGGCACAGCACTTAGGACAAGTGTTTCCTATTCAGCGACTCAAGTACAGCAACAAATATCCTGATGTTTTCAATAAATGTGAATAATTTCATCACTAAGACATTACAGATTTTTTGTATGGTGAGAAAATCCACATATAATTTACCCCAATTGAAAAATAAAACCTAACTTCTTTACTAAACAGTTTAAATCAATTTACAAAAATGTACAATGTGCTTTAGTATATGAATTCATACGATAGATGTAATGACTAGGTTTATAAACCAAGGTGTAAATTCTGGCACTACCACTTACCTTGGTAATCCCAGGCGAGCCACTTTAATTTCGCTGAGCCTCTGTTTCCTCATTTTTTTTTTCCTGAAGATTTTATGTATTTATTTGACAGAAAAAGCACAAGCAGGGGGAGTAGTAGGGAGAGGGAGAATCAGGCTCCCCAATGAGCAAGGAGCTGGATGTGGGGCGCTATCCCCAGATCCCTAGGGATCTGCCATCTGAGCTAAACGCAGATGCTTAAATGACTAAGCCATCCAGGTACCTGTGCCTCATTTCATAATGAAATAATAAAGCTTTCCAGAATGTTTTAAAATTGACAATTCTATTCATTATGCTGTGCTCACAAGTATAGCCACCATCTCTCACCATACAGTACCATTGACTGTATTCCATGCTGTACCTTTCAGCTCAGAGAATTATTCATTCCATAACTGGAAACTTGCCTCCCACTCCTCTTCACCCATTGTGCCTGTCCTCCCAACCTGCCTCCCTCTGGCCACCATAAGTTTGTTCTCTAAAATTATGGGTCTATTTCTGGTTTTGTTTATTCCTTTGTTTTTTTAGATTTCACATATAAGTGAAATAATATTGTATTTGCCATTCTTGGATTTATTTCACCTAGCATAATATCCTCTAAGTCCATCCATGTTGAAAAGGGCAAGATCTCATTTTTCATGGCTGAGTAATATTCCATTACTCTACATATTCTTTATATGTAATATTCTATATATTCTACGTATTACTACATAGTAATATTCTACATATTCTTTTATAGTCATCTCTTAGTGGACACTTGGTTCCTTCCATACCTTGGCTATTGTAAATAATGCTGCAGTAAACAGCTCAGTTGGTTAAAAGTCTACCTTTGGCGCAAGTCATGCTCTCAGGGCCCTGGGATGGAGCCCCACATCAGGCTCCCTGCTCAGGGAGAGCCTGCTTCTCCTCCTCCCTCTGCCCCTCCCCCTTCACATGGGTGTGCTTGCTCGCTCTCTCTCTCTCAAATAAGTAAATAAAATCTTTAAAAAAACACAAGGGTCCATATCTTTTCAAATTAGTTTTTTGTGTTTGTTTTCTTTGGGTAATATGAAGTAGCAGAATTACTAGATGGTAGGTATTTCTATTTTTTTATATTCTAATTTTTGAAGAAACTTCATGCTGTTTTTGACAATGGCTGCACCAGTTTTTATTCCCACCAGTAGTGCATGAGAATTCCTTTTCTCTGTATCCTTGCCAACACTTGTTATTTCATGTCTTTCTGAAACTAGCCATTCTGAGAGTTATGAAGTGATATCTCCTTGCTGTTTTGATTTCCCTAATGATTAGTGATGTTGAGCATCTTTTCATATGTCTGTTGGCCATTTGTGCATCTTTGGAAAAATTCCTGTTCAGGTTCTCTGCCCAATTTTTTTTTTAAAGATTTTATTTATTTGAGAAAGAATGAGCAGAGGGAGAGAGAATTTTTTTTAAGGTTTTATTTATTCATGTGAGAGACAGAGAGGGAGAAGCAGGCTCCCCTTTGAGCCAGCCAGGAGCCCCATGTGGGGCTCCATCCCAGGACCTAGAGATCATGACCTGAGCTGAAGGAGATGTCCAACCATCTGAGTCATCCAGGCACCCCAGGGTGAGAGAATCTTAAGCAGACCTAATGTCCAGTGGGGCTCAATCAGAGGACCCTGAAATCATGACTTGAGCTGAAATCAAGTGTCGGACGCTTAACTGACTGAGCCACCCAGGCACCACTCTTGCTCATTTTTTATATCAGATTGTTTTTTATTACTGAAGTGTAATTAGCATAAAATATTATATTCGTTTCAGGTGTATAAACATGATTCAGCAGTTGCATATATTACTCAGTGCTAACCACAGTAAGTATACTCACCATGTATCAGCAATGTTCTCACAATATTATTTTTTTTTAATTTACTTATTTAACAGAGAGAGATCACAAGTAGGCAGAGAGGCAAGGAGAGAGAGAGGGGGAAACAGGCTCCCTGCTGAGCAGAGAGCCTGATGTGGGGCTCAATCCCAGGACCCTGGGAACATGACCTGAGCCGAAGGCAGAGGCTTTAACCCACTAAGCCACCCGGGTGCCCTCTCACAATATTATTGACTGTATTTTTCATGCTGTACTTTTTATTTCCATGATTTATTACTGGAAGTTTGTACTTTTTAATTCCCTTTATTTCACTCCCCTCCCTGTGGTCCTCTGGCAATCATCAGTTTGTTCTTTGTATTTAAGCATCTGTTTTTTTATTCATTTGTTTTTTAGATTCCACCTCTAAGTGAAGTCATTTGGTATTTGTCTTTCTGTGTCTGACTTATTTCACTTAGCTTAATACCCTCTGGCTCCATCCATATTGTTGCAAAGGGCAAGATCTCATTCTTTATCACTGAGTAATATTCCATTGTATGTATATATACCACATCTTCAGTCATCTATCAGTGGACTCACGTTGCTTCCATATTTTGGTTATTATAAATAATGCTGCAATAAATATAGTGGTGCATACATCCTTTTGAATCAGTGTTTTCGTTTTCTTTGCGTAAATACCTATTAGTGGAATTACTGGATCATGTGGTGTTTCTATTTCTAATTTTTGAGGAACCTTCTTAGTGTTTTCCACAGTCGCTGCACCCACTTGCCTTATCATCAGCAGTGCATGGGGGATTCTTTTTCTTCACATCCTCACCAACGCTTGTTTCTTGTCTCTTTGATTCCAATCATTCTGACACGTGTAAAGTGGTATCTCATTGTGGTTTCAATTTGCATTTCCTTGGTGATTAGTGATGTTGAGCGTTTTTTTCATGTGTCTGCTGCCTTTATATGCCTCCTTTGGAAAAACCTGTCTATTCAGCTCCCTGCCCATTGTTTAGTTGGATTACTTGTGATTTTGGTGTAGATTGTGTGAATTCTTTATGTATTTCGCATATTAACCTCTTATCAGATATATCATTTGCAAAAATCTCACATTCAGTAGATAGCCTTTTTATTTTGTTGATTTCCTTCACTGTGCAAAAGCTTTTTATTTTGATGTAGGCCTAATAGTTTCTTTTTTCTTTTTCTTTTTTTTTTTTTAAGATTTTATTTACTTATTTGACAGAGATCACAAGTAGGCAGAGAGGCAAGCAGAGAGAAAGGAGGAAGCAGGTTCCCCGCTGAGCAAGGAGACTGATGCAGGGCTGGATCCCAGGACCCTGAGATCATGACCTGAGCCGAAGGCAGAGGCTTTAACCCACTGAGCCACCCAGGCGCCCTTATTTTTTCTTTTATTTCCCTTACTTGAGGAGACATAGCTAGAAGAACGTTGCTAAGGATGATGTCAGAGAGATTACTGCCTGTGTTTTCTTCAGGTCTCATATTTTGATATTTTAAGTTTATTTTTCTGTATGGGTTGAGACATTGGTCTGGTTTCTTTTTCTTTCTTTCTTTTTTGGTAACTGTCCCATTTTCCCAGCACCATTTGTTGAAGAGACTGTCTTTTCTCCCATTGTATATGCTTGCCTCCTTTGTTGTAGATTAATTGACCATATAAGCATGGTTTTATTTCTGGACTCTGTGTTCTGTTTCATTGATCTTTGTGTCTCTCTTTGTGCCAATACCATACTATTTTGATTACTACAGCTTTGCAGTATATCTGGAAATCTGGGGTTCTGATCCCTCCAGCTTTGTTCTTTTCTCTCAGGATTGCTTTGGCTATTTCAGATCTCTTATGGTTCCATACAAATTTCAGTATTATTTGTTCTAGTTTTGTGAAAAATGCTGTTGGTGTTTTGATAGGGAATGCACTGAATTTGTAGATTGTTTTGGGTAGGTAGTATGGACATTTTAATAATATTATATCTTCCATAAGCATGCAATGTCTTTCCCTTTGTGTTGTTATCAATGTCTTTCATCAGTGTTTTAGTTACAGAGTATGGGTCTTTCATCTCCTGGTTAAGTTTATTTCTAGGTATTTTATTCTTTTTGGTGCAATTGTAAATGGAACTGTTCTCTTAATCTCTTCTTCTGCTACTTCATTATTAGTGTATATAAACACAATGGATTTTTGTTTATTAATATTGTATCCTGCACCTTTACTAAATTCATTTATCAGTTCTAGCAGTTTTTTAATGGAGTCTTTAAGGTTTTTTTATTTTAATGTATGTTACCATGTCAGCTATATATAGTGACAGTTTAAGTTCTTCCTTACCAGTTTGGATGCATTTTATTTCTTTTTCTTGTCTGATTACTGCAGCCTGGACTTCCAGTGCTGTGTTGAATAAAAGCAATGAAAGTGGGCATTCTTGTCTTGTAATTGAGCATAGAGGAAAAGCTCTAAGTTTTTCACCATTGAGTATGATGTTAGCTGTGGCTTTTTCATATGTGGCTTTATTATGTTGAGGTTATCTCTCTAAACATATAATATTGGGAGTTTTTATCATGGATGGATGTAATACTTTCTCAAATGCTTTTTCTGCATCTATCAAAATGATCATATGGTTTTTATACTTTCTCAGTGTGACTTCTTATGTTGATTGCTTTGTGCATATTGGAGCACCCTTGTATCCCTAGAATAAATCCTGCTTGATCAAGGTAAATAATTTTTTTATTGTTGAAATTTGTTTGCTAACATCTTGTAAAAGATTTTTGCATCTATTTGTATCAGAGAGAGAGGACTGTGGTTTTTTCTTTTTTTGTGTTGTCTTTGTCTGATTTTGGTATCAGGTTAATGCTGGCCTGGTCGAATGCTTTTGGAAGTTTTCCTTCATCTTATCTTTTTTGGAAAAGTTTGAGAAGAGGGGGTATTAACTATTCTTTAAATGTTTGGAAAATTCACCTGTGAATCCACCTGGTGTCCTAACTTGTTTGTTAGGAACTTTTTGATTACCGATTGAATTTTGTTACTAGTAATCAGTCCAGAATTTTTCTTTTTTATCCAATCTTGGCATACTGTATGTTTCTATGAATTTATTTCTTCTAGGTTGTCCAATTTGATGGCATATAATTTCTCATAGTAGTCTTTTATAATCCTTTGTATTTCTCTGATAAAGAAATATATCTCATTTCTGATATTATTAAGTCCTCTCCCCTTTTTTCTTGATGAATCTGGCTAACAGTTCATTAATTTTGTTTATCTTTTCAAGGATCCACTCTTAGTTTCATTGATTTTTTTTTAGCCTCTATTTCACTTATTTCCACTCTGATTTGACTTCCTTTCTTCCTTCCTTTAGATATAAGATTAGATTGTTTGAGATTTTTCTTATTTCTTGTGTAAGACCTATATCTCTATAGACTTTCTTCTTAGAACTGCATTTGTTGCATCCCAAAGATTTTGATCCATTGTGTTTCCATTTTCATTTGTCTCCTGGTTTTTTGATTTCTTATCTGATTTCTTTATTGGTTACTGGTTGTTTAGTAACATGCTTTCAAATCTCCACATGATTTTATTTTTCCCAGTATTTTTATTTTTTATGTATTTTATAATTTATAGTTTCATACTGTTGTGATCGGAAAAGATGTTTGATATCATGTCAGTCTTCTTAAATTTATTGAAGCTTATTTTGTGACCTAACGTGATCAATCCTAGAGAATGTTCCATGTGCACTTGAAAAGAATGTATATTCTGCTGTTTTTGAATGGAGTGTTCTGTATATCTGTTAAGTTCATCTGGTATAATGTCATTCAAAGCCAGTTTCCTTCTTGATTTTCTGTTTGGATGGTCTATCCATTGATGTAAGTGTGATGTTAAAGTCCCCTACTATTAATTGTATTACTGTCAATTTCTCCCTTCATGTCTGTTCCTATTTCTCTTACGTATTTAAGTGTTCCTATATTAGGTACACAAATATTTACAATTCTTACATCCTTTCCTTGGATTGATCACTTTATCATTACATAATGTTCTTTGTCTCTTGTTATAGTCTTTGTTTAAAGTGTATTTTGTCTTATGTAAGTATTGCTACCCCAGCTTTTTTTTTTTTTTTTAACTTCCATTTACATGAATATCTTTTTCTACTCCTATACTTTTAGTCTGTTTATGTCCTTAGGTCTGAAGTATGAAACTAACTTGATTTAAAAGATGTTATGGTGTGCATGGGTGGCTCAGTCAGTTAAGTGTCTAGTTGTTGCTTTCAGCTCAGGTCATGATTCCAGTGTTGTGAGATTGAGCCTGATGTGCACATCAGGATGTGTGCTGAGTGGTGGAGCCTACTTAAGATTCTCTGTCTCCTTTTCTCCCCGCCCTTCCCCATTTGTGCACACTCTTGCTCTCAAAAAAGATTTAAAATAATAAAAATAAAAGATGTTTTGTCCCAGCATATAATTTTTAAATTTTGATACCATTAGAACAATTAGTGATCTTTGGTATGATTTCATAAAGCTTTAATCAGTACCAAATCACAGAAATTTTAAATTTTGTTTGATTTACTCACTAAATTAATATAAATCAAGGTGAATCAATGCTTTGAAATCTTGGAAAGACTTCTGTTCTGGTATTGGTATCTTTTTATATCCTTAAGGCTTACCCAACTTTGATTATTCTTTTTTATAGTAATTCAGCTACCTTATTTTTTAATTCTTATTATATATTTATATAATTTAAATTTTTAAAAAATATTTAAATTGTTAAAATGTCTATACTGCCTAGAGCAATCTATACTAAATTGTTAAAATGTCTATACTGCCTAGAGCAGTCTATACTTTTAATGCCATTCCGATCAAAATTCCACGAGTATTTTTCAAAGAGCTGGAGCAAATAATCCTAAAATTTGTATGGAATCAGAAGAGACCCCGAATCGCTAAGGAAATGTTGAAAGACAAAAATAAAACTAGCGGCATCATGTTACCTGATTGCAAGCTTTACTACAAAGCTGTGATCACCAAGACAGCATGGTACTGGCATAAAAACAGACACATAGACCAGTGGAACAGAGTAGAGAGCCCAGATATGGACCCTCAACTCTATGGTCAAATAATCTTCGACAAAACAGGAAAAAATATACAGTGGAAAAAAGACAGTCTCTTCAATAAATGGTGCTGGGAAAACTGGACAGCTATATGTAGAAGAATGAAACTCAACCATTCTCTTACACTGTACACAAAGATAAACTCGAAATGGGTAAAAGACCTCAACGTGAGACAGGAATCCATCAGAATCCTAGAGGAGAACATAGGCAGTAACCTCTTCGATATCAGCCACAGCAACTTCTTTCAAGATATGTCTCCAAAGGCAAAGGAAACAAAAGTGAAAATGAACTTTGGGACTTCATCAAGATCAAAAGCTTCTGCACAGCAAAGGAAACAGTCAACAAAACAAAGAGGCAGCCCACGGAATGGGAGAAGATATTTGCAAATGACAGTACAGACAAAAGGTTGATATCCAGGATCTATACAGAACTCCTCAAACTCAACACACACAAAACAGACAATCATATAAAAAAATGGGCAGAAGATATGAACAGACACTTCTCCAATGAAGACATACAAATGGCTATCAGACACATGAAAAAATGTTCATCATCATTAACCATCAGGGAGATTCAAATTAAAGCCACATTGAGATACCACCTTATACCAGTTAGAATGGCCAAAATTAGCAAGACAGGATACAACATGTGTTGGAGAGGATGTGGAGAAAGGGGAACCCTCTTCCACTGTTGGTGGGAATGCAAGTTGGTGCAGCCACTTTGGAGAACAGTGTGGAGATTCCTCAAGAAATTAAAAATAGAGTTTCCGTATGACCCTGCAATTGCACTACTGGGTATTTACCCCAAAGATACAGATGTAGTGAAAAGAAGGGCCATCTGTACCCCAATGTTTACAGCAGCAATGGCCACGGTCGCCAAACTGTGGAAAGAACCAAGATGCCCTTCAACGGACGAATGGATAAGGAAGATGTGGTCCATATACACTATGGAGTATTATGCCTCCATCAGAAAGGATGAATACCCAACTTTTGTAGCAACATGGACAGGACCGGAAGAGATTATGCTAAGTGAAATAAGTCAAGCAGAGAGAGTCAATTATCATATGGTTTCACTTATTTGTTGAGCATAACAAATAACATGGAGGACAAGGGGAGTTAGGAGAAGGGAGTTGAGGGAAATTGGAAGGGGAGGTGAACCATGAGAGACTATGGACTCTGAAAAATAACCTGAGGGTTTTGAAGGGGCAGGGGGTGGGAGGTTGGGGGAACCAGGTGGTGGGTATTAGGGAGGGCACGGATTGCATGGAGCACTGGGTGTGGTGCAAAAACAATGAATACTGTTACACTGAAAAGAAATAAAAAATTTAAAAAAATATTTTATTTATTTGACAGACAGAGATCACAAGTAGGCAGAGAGGCAGGCAGAGAGAGAGAGGAGGAAGCAGGCTCCCCACTGAGCAGAGAGCCCGATGTGGGGCTCGATCCCAGGACCCTGGGATCAGGGCCTGAGCCGAAGGCAGAGGCTTTAACCCACTAAATCACCCAGGCACCCCTATAATTTAAATTTTACTGGGTAGTCTTGTAAATTGCTCTAAATCCTCTGAGAAAAATACAGGAAACAACAGAGAAACATAGCTTAAAGTAATTCAAGACTGGCATTTTCATCTGGAATAATCACATTTACTATTGAGGCATCTAAGCCTAGGAAGAAATAGATGGGGTAAAATGGTTTCACATCATTCTGTAGTCATTTGTACAAATTTAGTCTTATCACTTCCAGAAACATAGTTCTACTTCATGTAAAATACTGTATATATTTAACTTAAACTTAAAAATTAATTTCTTAGAATAGTATTCTAAATATATTCTAAATAGTATTCTAATTTGTTTCTATTCTAAAATGAATTGTGTAGAATGGTAATATATGCTCTGATCATAAGTCTATCATAATTCAGCTCTCTATTTAGTTATATAGGATATATGTTCATTTTATTGCATTACCAGTCCTACTTACTAATAATATGTCTTTTTAAATAACTATAATAAGAGTATACATTCCTAAGTTTTCACTTTTGGTCTATTTTAAAGCCTTTTGTGTTTTTCTTTTCACTTTTCACATGAATCAGAGACCAGAAATGAGTGGAATGCTATCTTAAAGAAGTCAAAAATCTGTTAAAATCTTTATAAATACTACTTAAATGAAGAAAGATAAAAAAACCCACAGAATTCCAACTGATAATTACCCCATTCAGACACTGGTGAATATGTCCCTCAGTCCAAGCCGACCTTCCTCCTCAGAGGTAAGAAATCTTTTAAATGAAAATATAAGAAAGACTTGCTTAACATTGCTTTTGAAGAGTTCCGAGAAAGAAAAAATATGGATTATATGAAGTCTTAGATATTAACTCCACTATGTATCTCAGTGTCTGAGTATAGTTATTTTATTACAGTTCATTTATCTCTAGCTTATTGTACTGGAACCCCCAGTGCATTGATCCTATCACTTTTTTAAAAAATTCTTCACCTTGTGATGCCCTCCATAGCTTAAATACCATAGACCATAGAGCAGTCTTGATTATTCTCTTGCTCATACTTTTGACCTTTGCATCTCTCTCATTTTATCATACTACTTGCCAAAACAAAAACCCTGGTTTATTGAACTCTTCACCTATGTTGTACTTATGTCTACAATGGAACATGGCTGGAAAAAAAGTATACCAACATGACGACTATTCTCACTTTAAATTCAAGACCTGAATCTAAACTAGAACATTTTACTGGTAGGCAATCAGACTGTCTTCCACTCAACTCAATTTTCTACTGTTCTAGATAACTATTTCATACCTTTTCATACCCTGAATACCTTCTCCATTTTATTTTTAAACCATCTGTAATCACTTTCATTCCACTGCTACACCAAAATTGCTCTTGTTAAATTCACTTCTACATTACTAAATATGTTGTTTAATTCTTATCTTGTATATTCCAATCTATCTGTGCAAAACAGTTGACACTACTGATCACTCTTCTTTGACATAATTCCTTCACTTGACTTTTAGCATACACATATCTTGGTTTTCCTTCTACTTCCCTTGTTGTTCATTTTCAGTCTTCTTTGCTAGGTTTTCTTCTTCTTCTTGATCTCTAATATTGGAGAATTTCAGGGACCAGCTCTTTGTTCTCTTCTGTATCTGTACTCATTCTTTCATGATCTCATTCAGTATGATAGCTTTAAATACCAGCTTGATGCTAAGGATCTTCAAATTAATATCCCCAATCTAGGCTTTCCCAAACTGCAGATGTGTATTTTCAGCTGCCTACTTGACATCTCCACTCAGATGGTCAGTAGACATCTTAAAATTTAGCATGTCTCAAACTGAATTATGCATCTTTCCCCCCTCCCCTAAACATGTTCTATTTGACTTTCTCCCTCTCAGGTGATGGTAAATCCATCCTTTGAGTATCTAAGGCCAAATGCCTTGGAGCTGTAATTCTTTTTCAAACTTCACTTCCAAAGTACTACTTTAGCTTCAAATTATATAAAAAAACTGACCACTTCCCATCATCTCTACTGCTAGTACATTGGAGTGACCCACTATCATCTCACACTTTAATTATTCAGATAGCTTCATAACAGGTTCCATTTTCTTGTCTCTTACAACCTAATCTGTTATCCCTTTAATCGTTATTACATATAGCAAAATTTGCAATTAGGACATTATATATGTCCTAATGTGAAGCAGTATGAAAGGCAGGGTACCATTTATAAAGTATTCTTGCTCCCAGGTGATTAATTTGCATCAGTTGAAGGCTATACAGTTAACTGTTTACAAGACATAGAGGACTTCATTTCAAAAATGCTTGTGAAATAAGGTTGGCTGGGAAGATGGCAGAATAGGAGGACCCTAAACTTGCCTCATTCCATGGATACAATTAGATAATATTCATGTCAGTGTAAATAACCCAGAAAATGACATTAAAAAGACTGGCAGAACAAACTCTGCAACTAAAGGTAGGGAAGAAACCACACCAAAGGAGTTATGAAGGCCAAAGACATAATCTGAGAGCAAAATGGACCATGGCCATCTTAAATGGGCAGAGAACCAATGGCATGCAGAGGGACGGAAAATAGATTTTCACACCATGGAGGCCACAAATAGGGAAGACAAAGCCCTGTAATATTTGCCTTTGTAAATGAGAGGAGCTGAATTTCTTGAGTTCTAACAACCAGTGCAGCTTAAAGCCTGGAATCTTAAAAATCAGTAGGCTCTACTCTGAGAGAGGAGGGAGGGCAGTAGGAAGTGGACTCCCTGCCCATAAAGAGCTCACAAAACAGCGCATGCAGACACAAGGTAGAACCAACAATTTGAAAAATGCTGGGAGGAGAGTGATCTGCTTATCTCAGAGCATAGCCCAGAGACCTAGGGATCACCAGTGACCCCTCTAGGAACAAAGGATCTGGCAGGAGCCATTTACCTCCCCCATCCCCCAGAATAAACAGTGGCCACTTGTAGGAACAGTGTGGTGCCAACACTTGTTACCTGATTGCACCAAGCCCTTACCCTCATGCTTTGGAATATCAGCCCTTCCCAGTCCCACTTGGTTCAGTCCTAGTGCTGCAGGTTCCTCCCCCAGAAGACTGGTGCAAACCCTGCCAATACCAAATCTGCTGATCCATGCATTTTGCAGGACTTCACTTCTGACAGTAGCAGGAGCAGGTCTTGTTTCATAAGCAGATGACCATACGCCTTGTTAAAATGCACCCCATTCCTGGTGGGGACAAAATGATACAGTAGGCAAGGAGAGCCTTTGCAGATGACTGACACAACAGCTAAGCACATGCAACACACATAGGACACACTCCCTGAAGCTCCAGGCACTGGGGAATGGGACACTGCACTACAGGGCACTATAGGATCTCTTCTTCATAAGGCTATTATTGTTAAAAGCAAGAGAAAAGTAGCTGACTTTCCTAACACAGAGAAACAGACACACTAAATGAGACAGAGAACTCTCTCCCAAATGAAAGAACAGGACCAAACCATTAGAAGAGACCACAATGTAACCTATAAGTAATATGCCTGATAGAGAATTTAAAGTAATGATCATAAACATATTCCTGGACTGAGAAAGGAGTTGAGGACTTCAGTGAGTCCCTTAACAAAGAGATTTAAAAAAAAAAAAAAACTAATCAGAGATGAAGTAAATATTAAAATACATTTAATGGAATAAATAGCAGGCTAGATGAAGCAGAGAAACAAATTAATGACCTGGAAGACAAGTAATGGAAAGTAACCAAGCTGAAAAAAGTAGAGGAAGGAAAAATATCCAGATTGCGAATAGTCTTAGGGAATTCAGTGACTCCCTCAAGCATAATAACATTTGCATTATAGGGATCTCAGAATGAAAGAAGAAATAAAAAATTACATGGAAACAAATGAAAATGAAAACACAATGGTCGGAAGTCTTTGGCTGCAGCAAAAGTAGTCCTAAGAGGGAAATTTATAGTTTATAGCAATACAGGCCTACATAAAGAAGCAAGAAAAATCTCAAACAACCTAACCTTACACCTAAAGGAGCTAGAAAAAGAAAAACAAAACCCAGCAAAAGGAAGGGAGTGATAAAGTTTAGAATAGAAATAAAGGATAACATTAAAAAAAAAAAATAGACCAATGAAACCAGATCAACCAAATTGATAAACCTCTAGAAAGATTCATTTTAAAAAAAGGACCCAAATAAACGAAATCACTAATGCAAAAGGAAAGATAACACCACAGAAATACAATTGTAATAGAATATTATGAAAACATATATGCCTACAAATTGGACAACTGAAAAGATATGGATAAATTCCTAGAAACATATGACCTACCAAAACTAAAGCAAGAAGAAATGTGAAATTTGATCAGACCAATTACAAGCAATGAAATTGCATCAGTAATCCAAAAACTCTCAAAAAACAAAAGTCCAGGACTAGATGGCTTCACAAGCAAATTCCACCAAACATTTAAAGAGTTAATACCTATTCTTTTCAAACTACTCCAAAAAATACAAGAGGAAGGAAAACTTCTAATCCAATTTATGAAGCCAGTATCAACCTCATACCAAAGCAGATAAAGACACTGTAAAAAAAAAAAAAAAAAAAAAAAAGAGGAACTACAGGCCAATATCTCTCATGAATATAGATGCAAAATTCCTTAAAGTATTAGCAAACCAAATCCAACAATACATTAAAAAAAAATCATACACCACAATCAAGTAGGATTTATTCCTGGGATGTAAGGATAATTTAATATTCACAAAACCATAAATGTGATATGTAATATCAATAAGATAAAGGCTAAAAAACCTATGATCATTTCAACAGATGCAGAAAAAGCTTTCAACAAAGTACAACATCCATTCATGATAAAAACTCTGCAAAGTAAACCTAGAGGAAACGTACCTCAACATTATAAAGGCCTTGTATGAAACTCCCAGCCAACATCAAACTCAATGGTGACAGCTTCTCCCCCAGGGTCAGAAATACAATAAGGATGTCCATTCTTACCACTTTTATTCAATATAGTACTGGAAGTCCTAGCCATAGCAATTAGACAACATAAAGAAATAAAAGACACCCAAATTGGCAGAAGGAAGGAAGAAGTAAAATTTTCACTAATTGCAGATGACATACTATATATAGAAAACCCTAAAGACTCTGCCAAAAAGCTACTAGAACTTAATGAATTCAGTAGTCACGGAATACAAAATCAATGTGAGAAATCTGTTGCATTCCTATAAAATAATAATGAAGCAGCAGAAAGTTGAATTAAGAAAATAATCCCATTTACAGTTGCACCAAAAAACAATGAAATATCTAGGAATAAACTTAATCAAGGAGGTGAAAGACCTATACTCTGAAAACCGTTAAACTCTGATGAAAGAAATTCAAGACAATGCAAAGCCATTCCATGCTCATGGGTTAGAAGAGCAAATATTAAAATGTTTATACCACCCAAAGCAATCTATAGATTTAGCGCAATCCCTATCAAAATACCAATAGCATTTTTCACAGAACTAGAACAAACAATCCTAAAATTTGTATGAAACCACAAAAGACCTCGACTAGCAAAAGCAATCTCGAAAAATAAAAACAAAACTAGAGGAATCACAATTCCAGATTTCAAGTCATTTGTCAAGGCAGTAGCAATTAGAACAGTATGGTACTGACATAAAAATAGACACATAGATCAATGGAATAGAACAGAAACCCAGAAATAAACCCATAATTATATGGTCAATTAATCTTCAACAAAGAAGGAATGAATATACAATGGGAAAAACACAGCTTCTTCAACAAATGGTGTTAGGAAAACTGGACAGCCACATGCAAAAGAATGAAACTGGGCCACTTTCTTTCAGTATACACAGAAATAAACTCAAAATGGATTAAAGACCTAAATTCAAGACCTGAAACCATAAAAATCCTAGAAGAGAGTTATTTCTCTGACATCAGTCATAGCAACATTTTCCTAGATATGTCTCCTGAGGCAAGGGAAATAAAAGCAAAAATAAACTGAGCAATTGGGAGTACATCAAAATAAAAGGCTTCTGCACTGTAAAAGAAATAATCGACAAAACTAAAAGGCAACCTATGGAATGGGAGAAGATATTTGCAGATGATGTCCAGTAAAGGATTAGTGTCCAAAGTATATAACAAACTAATACAACTCAATACCCAAAAAACAATCTAATGAGAAATGGGCAGAAGACATGAACAGACATTTCTCCAAAGACATCCAAATGGCCAACAGACACATGAAAAGATGCTCAACATCACTCATCATCAAGGAAATGCAAATCAAAACCACAATATCACCTCGTATCTGTCAGTATGGCTAAAGTAAAAAATAACAAACAAGCATTGGAGAGAATATGGAGAAAAAGGAGTCTTCTTGCACTGTTGGTGTGACTGCAAACTGGTACTATGGAAAGCAGTATGGGGATTCCTTAAAAAATTAGAAATAGAATTACCCTTCAATCCAACACACTGCTGACTATTTACCCAAAGAATACCCCAAAGAATCAAAGGAGTACATGCATCCCCTATGTTTATTACAGCATTATTTATAGTAGCCAATCTATGTAAGCCCCTCAGGTGTCCATTGGTAGGTGACTGGATAAAGAAGAAGTTTTTATATATCTTTATATACAACAATATTATTCAACCATAAAAAAGAATGAAATCTTGCCATTTTCAACAACATGGTTAGAGCTAGAGAGTATAATGCTCAGCAAAGTCAGTCAGAGAAAGATAAATAGTATATGATCCTACTCATGTGGAATTTAAGAAACAAAGTAAATGAAAAAAGAAAAGGGGAGAGAGACAAACCAAGAAACAGACTCTTAACTGTAGAAAACAAACTGATGGTTATCAGAGGGGAGGGGTCTTGGGGGAATGAGGAAAATAGGGGATGGAGCTTAAAGAATACACTTTTCATGATTTAAAAAATGATATTAAAAATTATATTATGTTTTAAAAAAAACTGGAGAATTAAGTTAAATGCCATCTTGAGATTATAAGGTAAATTCAGAATGCAAAACATTCTTTAAAATAACTGGCCCAGTCTCTTCAAAAAGTTAATGCCATGAAGAGGGGGCAAAGAATACAGGTCTGGAAGAACTTGCGGATTAAGTTATTTAAGGATGTGACAAACCCAATGCAAAGATATCCTTGATTGGATTCTAGATTGAAAAAACATTGAGGACAAATGGACATTTGAGGAAATTTGAATATGGAATGGATATTATTTTACATTAAGGGATTGTTAATTTTCTTAAATGTGAAAATCGTACTGTGATTATTTTGGACAAATCTTTATTTTTAGGCAATGGCTGCCAAAGTACTTAGGAGTATATTTTCACAACGTCTGATTTACTTTGAATGGTTTTTCAAGAAAGGGATAGAGGATCTGAGAGAATCTGTGACATCTGTCAGCCCATTGATCACCAGGGTTGATTTGGCTGATCTGGCTGGCTAGGGGGGTGTCCTCTTCCTCCCTCACAGCTCCATGTTCATCCCTTCCAAAGCTGCATGCTGTGTTGAAGAGGAGGACCTTCCCCAGTAAAGAAGGACCATTCTTCAGTCAAGGGCATAGGAGAGCTGCGCTTGCCTGCTAGAACCTCCAAACAAGCTCTCAAGGTCCATATGTAGAAGAAGTTAGGGTAGTCAAGCTTCCCATACTTCAAACACATCCAAATAAGGCCTGCATGTGGCAATATGCCTTTAAGAGAGAGAGCGAGAAAGTAAATGTGGCATGATGTTAACTTTTGAATCTACATAGTAGGTATTTGGGTATTCAGAGTTTTATTCCTTTATTTGTATGTATGTTTAGAATTTTTCATATTAAAATTATAAAATGAATGTCAGATGTTGTCCTTCTATTAAAACCCTGTATTGGCTTCCCATTTTCTGAAAATAAGATCTTTTGGTGGCCTGAAAAACCCTATTTATTTTGTTCCTTGTCCTCCTCATTTTTATTATTTTATCTCTTACTGTTCTCTGCTTCAATCATACTAGCAATCTCTCATTTTAGGGGTGCTTGGGTGGCTCAGTTGGTTAAGCGTCTACCATCAACCCAGGACCCTGGGAACCAGCTCAGCAGGGAGTGTGCTTCTTCCTCTGCCCCTACCCCTGCTCGTGCTCCTTCCCCACCCCGACTTCTCCTCACCCCCTCACTATCAAATAAATAAAATCTTAAAAAAAAAAAAAAAGACCTTTGCTTTAGGTCTTCTTGGAGTTCTTTCCCTCTACATCAGCACTTGGCTAATTGTTTCTTCCCCTGCAGTCTTAAATCTCACCTTTTCCATAAGAACTACCCAGGCTATTTAAAACTGAAACCTACTTCCCCTTTTATTGTTCCAATTTTCCTTACTCTGCTCTTATCCTTTTCCCCAGTACTTACCTCTTTCTCATGTACTGTATAACTTATCAGTGTTTTATATTTATTGTTTATTGTTTGTGCCCTTCACAGATCTGGGACTAGTCTGAGGCAAATAAGTCACTTGCCTTGGGTACAAAATTTAAGGGCACACACCAAAAAACCCTTCATAATTAAGATAAGTAATTCAATAAAAGATTTTTTAAATAAAAAACTGATGCAAGAAATCCATAATAGCAAATTTTAAATGGAAATAGAATCTGATAGTGCCATGCCTAGCCCTTTTGGAGCCTGAAGCAAAAGGCAAAATATGTGCCCATAAATATATATTTTAGTATATTTTCAAATGGCTAATAGTCTTGATGAAAATATTACTAATGAGCTTCCATGAAAGCCAGGAAAGTAAAATTATAATGAATTCATGTTTTGACATAAATAGAATATTTGACCTTAAAATAATGTTTTGAATTTTAATACATCCTTTTGAAGTTTTCAGTATTTTTTCCAACTACTAGGTTATTCTGAAAACAGTTGACCATCAAGAAATATACATATGTATTTTTAAAGAAACATGTATTGAAGTTCATATTTTTTCCTTTTTCCTCAGGCTTTACTAGTAGTATTAAATTCTGTCTTTATTTAAATTTTTGATACTTTGTTTATCGTGGACTTTTTTGCATGAGTAGTTTTTTTTTTTTAATGTTATTTGTCTTGATTATTGAGGTTTTGGTATAGCCTTAAATTTTGTACCTGAGGTGAGTGCTTCACTTGTTTCACCCTTCTTGCCCTGATACCTCATTAGAATGTAAAACTATACGTAGGCAAGGATCTTTGTCTTATTGACTATGTATTCCTAATGCCTAGACCAGTGCTGGCACATGATAGACATTCAGTAAATATTTGCTGAGGGAATGAATAAACACAAATTCACTATAAATTTTGTTAAAGAAATGTTTTATTATGTATATTTTCTCTGTATTGCCTACTCATTCAGTTATGGAATTAAATCTGTACAAACACTTTGAATTATAGTTCATGAATTATTATAAAAAATATTGACAGAATTTACTTGTTTATACAAAAAATAGAGTAAAATGTTCAATAAATATTTTTTCCTAGAAATTATTAATGCATTTATATAAAGGATAAGGTCATATTTAAGTCTTCTGAAGGTTTTGCAAATACTATGTAGCTATTAAATATTATAGTCTTAATAGTATAGTATAGTGTTAGCTATGAATAGTATAGTGTAGCTGGGGAATTATTTTTTAAATGCTCTGGTGTTCAAAATACAACACGTGGCAAGCCTGACATCAGATATATACATATATCAAATGTATAGAAATAATTTATTTGGTCTGTAAAAACGAGCAAAACATTCAGTTCAATATAAAAATTTCTAATTTTAATGATTGGTTATAGTCAACTATTTAAAGTTTTTCTCAGATATTTAATATTGTAGAGTATAATCATTTAAATTTTAATATGCAATGAGTAACTTCCTTAGACTAAAAGATTGGAATATTTGCTATAATTGTCCTGTTTCTGTTGTAGTAATCTAAATATTCTTTCTTCTAAACAAAGTATTCTAATTGAGGTTTAACAAAACATTAATAGAAAAGAAAGTTGTATTTATAAGCACAGGCAAGCCAAGCTGACAGACATGACCTATGTAAGAACAACCATTTCCTTCCCTATCACCATCAGGAATAGGTTCTTCCTAGAATTCTGGGAAACAAAAATACTTCCTAAACCACAGAGTATTCACATGTTTGCAGTTGCTGAGAACTAGCAATCATCACAACTATGTTAGGGAGACAATATGTAAAGTATAAGGATTCCACAAAATCACCCCAACAGAACTGAGTAGGTAGGGATCAGGGGAGAGGAAAAGGTTGGTAACCAGAAAACTGATCTTGATGGGCTGGTACTCTTATTCCAAGCTGCAGAAAGAAACTTGTGTCAGAGATGTTAGGGTACCCTAGGACCACATCTATGACATTGTTTCTAGGGAGATGTGCTCCAAGTGCCAAGTAGCCAGCTAACCAAAATTTTGGCTCTTCATTTTGTTTTCGTGTCTGCTCAGAAAAATACATGTATTCCATGTTTATTTCAATTACGTTTATTAAGCTTAGAATTCCAGAGGAGATCAGTTGATTTTTTTCACTTTAAAAATATTTTAACTGATGTTCTTCTCAATTTATTTAGTTGATGGAACTTCATGTTTTTTATGTCCCTGAAGGATCGTGGAACTATAAGCTAAATACCATTTCAATAGAAGTTGTTAACAAATTCATTTCAGCTGGATTTATAAGGCAAGTATTTTGTGGTCATGTTATAATGTGCCTGAAAAAGCAGTCTTTTTTTCTGCAGAGAAAAATATTTCTTTGGAAATTTATGTTATAAGTGAGACACTCTGGTCCGTATGATGGATCCAGTTTCTAACTTAATACTATCAATAAATAGTGTTATATAACAGTTAATAAGTATTTTAGAAACATATGGTACTTAGCCAGGTGCCACTGCCACCCAGTTAAAAGGGTATAACAGGTATATTACTATCATTACACACAAAGGGAATGAGAGAATTAAGAGAGAAATTATCTGAAATTAGAAACCTGTTGAAGAGCTGTGAATAGTGGTTAAATCAGTATATCCACAATGACTTTTTTACTGAACTGTTTCAAAATAGAAAGAGACTATATGTGTATGTAAACTTACATATATGTACATGTAAGTATATGTACACATAGGAAGCACCTTAAAATAATGTTTTGAATTTTAATACATCCTTTTGAAGGATGTATTAAATTAATTAAATTAAATTAAATTAATATATCCTAATGAAGACATTATTCCTTATCTTCCCCATCACTTCAAGCATACTAGTGTCGTTTTTGTTCTGGAACACATCAGACATGAATCTACCTCAGGACCCTTGTCTGCTTGCTGTTCTCTTAGTCTAGAATGCTGTTTCTGCCCTAATATATCCTATCTCTTCTTTAACTCTTTACTTCAATATTACTTTTTTGTTTAGATCCTCTCTAATCACTATATTTAAAATTGTAGCTACCCTCCCTTCCCTGCTTTATTTTTCTTCATAGTACTTAGCAGTGTCTTATGAATTATATATTTTTTAGTTTGTCTAATTTCCTTTGCCGCCATTAGATTTATAAAGTCTGTGAGGGCAGAGATTTTTGTCTCTTTTGTTGATTGCCGTATTCCCATTCTTTAGAGCAATGCCTGATATATAGTGGGGGCTCAATAAATATTTTGTGGTTGAATGAATTAATTATAATTAATTATATAATGTTTCCCATAAAATCCTAGAAAAACAAAAACCCAAATCAGTAGCATAAATGATGGCTTTAAATTTTAGATGTTGAGGAGTGAAGTATTCTTAATGAACAAAGACATGGAGTCTGACAGTATTTAATTATCAAAGAAATTTTTAAGCACTAGATCATCCTGTCAAGCTTCCAAAATAAATATTTGTGGCTTAATCATTTTTTATGTATAAAAGTATATAAATTCCATAGCAGAATTTTCTTTTTTTTAATAATACAGTTTGGAGGCAGATGAGAAAAGTAGATAACCATTTTCCTTTTCAGTACAGAAAGGACTTTTATAAACAGTATTTATTTGTATAATCATTTTATTTTTTTAAATTTCCTGAAGTTTTATAAAGTGCCAGACAATGTAAAAATAAATCGAGCTATATATGATACATTAAGTTAGTATTTGTTTGAGATAGCTGACTAACATTATAGAATTTATAGTATAGCTGAAACCTATTTCATTTTCCATTATAAGGCAATGTCATGATATTTCAGAGTATCTCCTCACCTAACTTTACAAGCCCTGAGAGAACGACTTGGTGAGTTCCTTGGTGAAGATGCTGTTGCAGAAAAATTTTTATTTCTGAAATGCATTGGAAATAATCTAGCTGTGGTAAGTTTTCTTAATTTTTTTCCATGTGGAGGTGCCTGGGTGGCTCAGTAGGTTAAGCCTCTGCTTTCGGCTCAGGTCATTGTCTTAGGGTCTTGGGATAGAGCCCCACATCAAGCTTTCTGCTCAGCGGGGTGCCTTCTCCGCCCCACCCCCGACCCCCGTCTGCCTCTCTGCCTACTTGTGATCTCTCTTTCTCTGTCAAATAAATAAATAAATAAAATCTTTTTAAAAAGTTGTTTTTCCTTTTGGTTAAAGAAAAGCACAACTTAACAAATTGTGTTTTTTAAATGCTTGTCAACTCAGCTTCTTGTCAAGTCACTTCTATAAATGGGATAAGTAATATCAGTCATAACAATGAAAAATCACTAAATACATAGATCATCAAGAAAAAATGGGCCTTATTGGCGTATTATTGGGCACTAAAATGATGGGGGATATTTTGGGGTGTGCATTTCCTTGAGAAGAAAAGGAAGACAAACTTAAAATGTTATTATATAATGTGTATTTTTAAATTTAAATGAGTGTTTAAATTTTTTTTTTCTTTTTATTTTTTTTTTTTTTATGGAGAGAGAGCATGTGCATGTGTGTGCATGAGCTGGTGGGAGGCAGAGGGAGAGAGAGACTCTTAAGCAGGCTTCACATTCAATGCAAGCCTGACATAGGCTCAAGAGTCAGCCAGGTGTCCCCTAAAACATTTAAGTAAGTACTTGTGTTCTGGACAAAAATGGGCTTCATTGTTTGGGCCACAGCTAGCCCTCTTTGATGTGAAATGATAGGACTCCAACAATTTTTGTTTGTTTCAGCTATTATTATCTGTTAAATACTCCTGTTTATAGTTTCTGTGGTTTAATGGCAAGATTAACTTTTCTTTTTTTTTAAGATTTTATTTATTTATTTGACAGAGAGATCAAAAGTAGGCAGAGAGATGGGGGGAAGCAGGCTCCCTGCTGAGCAGAGAGCCCAGATGTGGGGCTCGATCTCAGGATCCTGAGATCATGACCTGAGCTGAAGGCAGAGGCTTAACCCACTGAGCCACCCAGGCACCCCTAATGGTGGGATTTTCTAAGTAGAATTTTCCTACTTGAAATTCTTAATCAAGCAAGCCATCAGATCTCAAAGTTTCTAGTTTCTCTTAACTACATAAGGTTTATTTCTTTAATCAAAAACTTTCTATATTAAAAATGCAGTATATTCTATTCCTCTCTAGTTAACATATTATGTCATTAGTATGTATTTATGTGATTGTTTATATTTAACATCTGATTCTGCCATTAGACTATAACTCCCTGTGAGCAGGGACTTTATTTAATTCACTATTGTATTTATAACCAGTGCCTAAAATTAAATTAGAGGTATTTCAGTGTTTTTTGGACAAATTCAATAATGATAGTGGGGGAAAAAAGCATTTCCCATCAAAGTAGTACTGTAAAGGAATTTGCTGTATGGAATTCTCAGGATCAGCAGCTAGATATGAAGTTTTTGTCATTTGAAGTCTGTTCAGTATGGTTAAATATCTACCTTTAAGTTTTTCTCAAGGAAGAAAAAACAATTCTCCTTTTTGTTCTTTTTCATAATATCTAAAATACAGATTATCAATTGCAGAATCCTGGGTTGAAAGAGACCTAAATAAAGATAATTTAAAACAACTTCTGAAGTCCTTCTAATATTTTATTATTTTTAACAAATATTTATTGGTGTTTTTCTAGAAACAAAATGAAAAAAAAAAACCTGGCTATGGATCCAGCCCTTAAAGAGTATTCACTGTAGTGTGCAGAGAAAATACATAATTAAAATAGTGTATTTTGTATATTCAGAAGAAAAAGGGATTACTTCCAGCAGGAGAAGGGGGAGATAGAGAACTTTGAGAAAAGAACTATAGTCAGTTTGAATCTTGAAAGATAAATATTTGACCTAGCAAAACTGTTGGGTGGGAAAAGCTTTCTAAGCAGAGAAAATAGAATGAGCATAGAAGTAGAAAAACAAGCAATTAAGGAACAGTAAATGTTACCCTTTTTATTGGAACATGGTATGAAACAGAATAGTAGAGAACAAATTGTGAAGTGATTTCCTGAAAGTCTTGAATGCCAGATTAATGAATTTTGTTTGTTTCTGAAGTGTTGGGAGTTTTTGAGCAAAAGATGACGCGATGAGAGCCCTCAAAGACTAGAGGCAGGGATTGTAACTAGCAGGCTTTAATTAGGAGACTTTGTAGTGTTAAGCCAGAGATATAGTGGGCTTAAGGAATAGGCAGGCTCCTTCTCAGATTTTATCTGTTGCTATTTTTCTTCTTTGTTTTCCATTTCAAACACAAAAATCTTTGGTCGCCAAATACAACAAACTCCTTTCCAGTTTATGTTCTTTGCACTTGCCTGGAAATTACTTCCTTATGATTTGCAAATAGCTTTCTTTTTCTTTTCATAATTCAGGTCTCAACCTCAAGTATTATATTTTCAAGAGGGCCTTCTCTGACCACCTAGTTTTTGGGTGTTCTTTCTCTTAAGTTACTCTCTATTACATCAGGGTTTTGTTCTCATAAATCACATTTCACTATCCTAAATCATGTTTATTTAACATCTGTTCTCCTAAGTAGAATATAAGCTACATGGGAGCAAGGACTTTGCCTTGTTTACCATCGTATCTCCCACCATATAGAACCCATAGTTCTGACCCATAGTATGGGTCTTCCTAACCCATAGTATGCCCTCAGTATTTGTTGAATGAATGGATGGATGGATGGATGAATAACAAAAGAACTCTATGGGCTATATATTTAGGAAATAAAATTTACAGCATTGGACTCTGGAGCCAGATTATCTGGTTTTGTATCCCAATTTGGAAAATTCCTAGTTATAAAATCATGGGCAAGTTATTTAACTTCTCTTTCCTCAGTCTTATTGTCTAATATGTAATATGTGTGCCTATCACATGGAATTGTGGAGATTAACTGAGCTAATATATGTAAAGCACCTAAAATAGTGCTTGACATAAAGTGAGTCCATGTAAGTGGACTTATAATCATATATAATCATAGCCATATAATTGTATAACCATATAATCATAGCCATGATTATTACTATTAAATGACATAGAATTTCTTTTATGTTTTGTACAGTGAATAGAAATAGGATTATGTTCTACATTTTCTAGACTCTAGCCTTGTTATCAGCTTTTATGTCACAGATATGTGCCTTCTACAAAAAAAAGGAATAAAAATAACTGAAAATATACAGAAGCTTGATTTTTTTGTCATTTATTTCTAGGTGAAGGTAAAACAAGAATCAGAACTGAAACTCAAATCATTTGCTCCTCCATATGTATGTAATGTAACATTTTTAAACTTATGTTAATTTTTTAACTTACTGCTTTTTAAATTACAAACTAATTTTTTAAAATTTTCTGTATGTTTTAGGCTCTTCAACCGGAATTATATTTGCTTCCTATAATGGATCATTTAGGAAATATTTATTCAGCATCAACTGTTGCTTTAGATGGGCGGCAGACTAATAATGGTGTTGCTGAGGCTGATGGAATAATCCACAGACCACTTAGAGTAACTTTGTTGAAGGAAGAACCTGGAACAGATCCCAGTTTTTTAGTAAACACTTTGAAAGAGCTTCTCAACAAGAATCAGGAAGAAGGTGATTTCAGCCGGAATGGGAAAAACAAAGAGGTTATTATAGTACATTTTAATAGTCAGGCTTGTAAGCAAATTCTGGGCAAATCTAGCCTTACAAATGTAGCAATATCAAACGAAAGCTATAGTTCCATTTGGGAATTTTAAAAAATAGTTTCACCAAGTGAAAGAAAAAAAAAAACAATTAGTATGTGAAAAAGCCAAATAAAAATACTTATTGCACTTAAGTAAACTCTACTACCTTCTTTTATAATAGCTTCAGATAAAGTTAAGGCCAAAGGAGAAAGGAAGTGATCATTGCATAGAAACTTAGTATTATTACTATGAGTGAGAAGATCTTAGCCACAACTGTATCAAACCAAAGCAAAGCAACTTTAATGCTGGGAGACATTTGTATTTCAAAGAGTCACAAATCTTTATATGATTACATTAATCAATTTACTGATAGTTCAGTTCTTAAAAAGTGGTATATATTTGCGACACCTGGGTGGCTCTGTCTTTAAGCATCTGCCTTTGGCTCAGGTCATGATCCCAGCATCCTATGGAATCCAGCCCCTTTTCCTTCTCCAGCTCCCCTGTGCTTCTGTTTCCTCTCTTGCTATCTCTCCTTCTCTCAGAAATAAATATTTTTTTAAAAAAGTGGTAGATAATTAAACAAAATTAAATATATAAATAAAGCTGGAACTATAAGAACTTATTGAAAAAATATTGCATAAAGAAATAAACTGTTTATGATGGAAAAACAAATACACTAGACATTTATAAATGAATCCCTCCAACTAATGACAACATCCGTTACAGCTGCAAAATATACATGTTCTTCATCAGTTGCATTTTTCTCCATCTTCAGTTATAGTCATTCTTAAATTGTAAGTTTATAGCTCCCTTCTGATGTGGTTTATTATTTCTGATGAGACATGCGGATGAGATCCACCTATTTTATTTGATGCCAGTGAGATACTCAGAATCTTTACCTCATTGATCTAGGCTTGTGTCTGCTACAGTGTTAAATATTGCTTTCTAGTCAGGTTATTACTTAAAGGGGGAAAATACCTGGGGAAAAAAATTCAGAGTGGAATCCCAGCATTCCTGAAAGTACAAGGTCAAGTAGCTAATGAAGTGGGCATTTGCCTTACATAAAGCTGTGAGTAGTGTCATTTCATATCCTGAGTTCTAGTGGCCAGATATTTGCACAAAACACACACAAAAAAATCCTTGGTGGGAATATTTAACCCTTGAATTTTGTGAAAGTGTAGTTTTTAAATTGTATTAATTTCTTGATGCTTTCCTCCAAAAAGAAGTATGCTGGCCAGCATATGCTCATTTTTAAAAAGTTCTGGAAACACCAATAACTATATAAAGAAGAAAATTGAGTTTAAAAATAATTCTACAATCCGGAAATGGCTTTTGTTAGTATTCTGGTATATATTCTTTCAGTTATTTTTTTCAGTTTTTGTATGTAATAAATATTTTTAGCTTTTTAAAAAAATTTTATTAATATTTTTAGCTTTTAAAAATGAGGATACAGACCCTCTTAGACCCTCTTTTTATATTTTAGAATATATTGTAGATCTTTCCTATCAATAAATACAGATCTACATCATTATAGAATTCCTTGTGGTATAATTTATGTACCCAACCCTATATCAATGTTTTTGCTATTATGAATCCTGCTGCAAGCAACATTTTTCTAAGTTCTTTGTGCATTTGTCCTATTTTTTTAAAAGAAGTTTAATGGCTGTTTCTAAGGCTGTGTTTCTTGTTGTTATTCTTTTTCTTTTAAGAACTTTTCAACATTGTGTGTCTTCCTCTAGTCACATCTTCTTTCTTCCTAGAGATAACTACTACTATGATTTTTTGTGATCATTGTTTTCTTGCTTTTCTTTACAGTTTTACAACCGGAATATGTATTCCTTAACAATAGTTTAGTTTTTGTATGTTTTGAGTTGCATTAAGATGGAATCATATTGAAAGTATTTTATTTTTGACTTGTTTCTTTTGTTCAACATTGTAAGATTCAGTCATGTTTCACATAAAACACCATTTTTTCATTGTATAATATTTCATTTATGACTATACCATAAATTATTTACTCTGAATATGAACATTTGGTTTGTTGCCAGTTTGGGAGTATTACAAATATGCTTTTATGTACATTCTTGTACATGACTCTTAAATGTGCATGTGGATGTCAAGAGAGTATACCTAGCCATTGGCATTGTTTGTACATATTCCACTTTACTAAATAATGTCCATATTTTTCCAAGGTGGTTGTACCCAGCAGCAATGTCTGAAAGTTCTATTGAACTGTAACTTGCCATTCTATCAGATATTTTGTCTCCTCTTTCTCTGCTGTACATTTTGGATAATTTCTGTGGATTTTTCTCCCAAATCTATTTTACTGATTCTCTCTTTAGTTGTATCTTATCTGCTATTAAATCCTTACACTGAATTTTTAATTCCCAGTGTTTTATTTTTCTTTTCTAATGGTTTTCTTGTTCAATGGCCATTTGGATTTGACTTCATTCAAATGTTTTGCTCATTTTCTGTCTTTTAAATATTGATTCATTTTATATACATATGTATTTTTTCCACCGTGTGTGTGTGTGTGTGTGTGTGTGTGTGTATTTAATTCATTCTAGATTTTAGTTTGTGTCTTGTCTTTTTATTATCTTTGTGATTCTTTTGATGAAAGGAATTCTTAAATTCTTGAAGTTACAAGGATTGTGTTGATGTCTTCAGTTTTTTATCAGTTTTACTTTATGTATATTGGAGCTATTTTTAAATGCATGCACATTTAGGATAATTATGTCTTCTTGATGAATTGACCCCAATGTGATTGTGTAATGTTTCTCTTTTTTTCTGATAATAGTCTTTATTTTAAAGTTTACTCAGTCTGATATTAATAGAGTCACTCAAGTTTTCTTTTGATTAGTGTTTGCATGGTATAACTTTCTTCATTCTTTTATCTATTACTGAACATCTAAAGTGGATTCCTTGTAGACAGCATATATTTAGATCTTACTTTTAAGTCCAGTTTGACAAACTGTGCCTTTTACTATGGGTATTTAGACCATTTACATTCAGTGTAATTATTGATGTTGTTGGTTTTAAACCTAGCATCTTTCTCTTTGTTTTCTATTTGTCTCATGTCTTCTATCTTCCTAGATTTTCCATTTTCTTGCCTTTTCTGGATTGAGAAGTTTTTTATGATTAACTTGTATCTCCATTTTTTGCTCACTATATATCCACTATTGTCTTACTATTTCTTATTTTAGAAAATTGTTAGTGGTTGCTGTAGGGTAGAGGTAAGCAAATACCTATATTTATACTTAAAAAATTTTTTTTTAATTTTAAGTAATCTCTACACCCAGTGTGGAACTCAGTCTCACAACCACAAGATCAAGAGTTGCATGTTCCACTGACTGAGCCAGACAGACACCCCTATTTTATTTTACTTTATTTTATTTTAATCCATACCTGTGGCTTGTTTTTTTAATAAATATTGTTGGAACACAGCCATACCTGTTTGTTTACATATTTTCAATGACTGTTTTTACACTATAATGACAGACTTGAGTAGTTATGATAAAGACCAAATGGTCCATGAGCCTGAAATATTTAGTATCCAGCCCTTTAAGAAAAAGTTTGCTCTAAGGTATACATTATATACATTTTTAATTTGAAGTCTACTTTCAAATTATATACATCATATATAAGAACCATACAGCAGTATTACTATTTCCTCCCTCAGTTCCTTTGTGCTGTTGTTGTCATATATTTTATTTCTGTGTATAACTCCACAATACATTTTTACCATTTTTAATTTACACTGTTAGTCAACTTTTAAAGAAATAAAAAGTAAGGAGAAAAATGACTTTTTATATTTAAGAGAGAGTTTTTTTCTCCCCACCCAGTGATAATAAACCTAATCTTTGTATCACTGCATGATCCTGGGCTCAAGATGATCCTTACAGCTTTGGCTCCTTCCCTTCCTTTTAGGCCTTACCTCTAACTGGGGATTAGAGGGTTTTCTATCCCCTCCCCAAAGACTTTTCAAAGCTAATATTGTTGAAAGAGGAGTCACCTGCTTGCTGATGGCTTTTGCCTCTATTCCTCCATGAGAGTCAATAGATTTTTGCATGGGTTCTGAGATGGGTGAGTTTCCTGTTCCTCCCCCCAGTGGCTTAGTCTTTTACTTTGTATGAAAGGATAGTGTTGAGAAAGATGGGGTTTCATACCTATGTGCCACTGATGGCTCTTTCAGTTTACCTGCTCTACCCCCAGTCTTTCTTGTATGATACAGGCACATGGGAAGGAGCTTGCTATTAAGTATTGATGTCCTTTGTGTCTGAGGATCCCAGAGATTCCAAACTATCCTGGTAGCCTACATTGGCCTTTAGAATGCCTTAAAATTTTAACCATTTTCTTATTTCTTTTAATGGTAGTTACCCCTTCCTCCTGTGCTCTGCCATAGAGGAAATAATTTTCCCCTAGAAGGAAACTGGAATTCAACTCCTTGCAAATATAATTCTCCAATGAATTCAAGAAAAGTTATTATTTTATAGGTTATATACCTTTTTCTCCTTGTTCAGGTTGGAGCACTGTTTCGTCTTTCTATAATTCTAACCAAAAATGGAACTGCAGTTCTTAAATTTTAATATAATCAACTTTATTGGTATTTTCATTTATGGGTAGTGTTATTTATATCTCTTTTTAAAAATCCTTTTTATACCCTGAGATGTATTATCTTTCAAACATTTTGTGTTTGCTTTTCCAATTTATTAATCTATCAGGAATTAATTTTTACATGTGATGTGAGATAAAGTTCCTTAATTTTTTTCCATATGTAGTCTTCCCATTTGATTGTTGTGCAGTTTCTTAAAATACCAAATTACTCTTCTGTGGTGTATGAGAATGCAAAATATCTGAGGTCTAGCATTATATTATTAAATATAGCTTGGAAGACAGTACATAGTATGTTTTACAAGTCCTTTAATAAAGGAGAAAAGAGTATTGCTTTACCCATTTTCATATCAAAATGGGTATTCCCTTCCATTAGATATCTTCTGTTCCTTCCCATGGGTCTGTGCTACACACCTCTACATTTTTGTGTCTCGACTTTAATGTGTTTAATACTTTATTGTTGCCTCCAAACAAGTATGCTTTCTTGACTTCTTTGATTTCATTATTCTTCTAGTTGTTCAAACTTTGAAATATTCCTCACTGTAGAGTAATAGATTCTTAGAGTAAAGGAAACTTGAAAACCATTTTGTAGCCTCCTTGCTGCTTACAATCTGCTTTCCAGTCTATTTTCCAGAATGTAGTCAGCATCATTATTCTTGTTACAGGCTGGATTATTTATCTCCCTGCTTGAAAACCTTTGAAAGACTCATTGATTACTACTTAAAGCCCAAGTTCTTTAAGATGACATAGGGAGTGCTTTGCACTCTGACTTCAAACCCAGGGTTGCAAACCCAAGGCTGCAAATGTTTGGCCATGCAGATTGTTCACTGCCTAATGCCTGAAGGCTTCTTTCACGTAGATGATGATATAAATGGAGCTTTCAGGATTTGCCTAACAGGGTAATTGGTTCTGTAACTTTTAGCTATTATTATTATTATTATTATTACTATTACTACTACTACTCATTACTACTGCTGCTGCTGCTGCTGCTACTACTACTACTACTACTACTATAGTTTGGGGGTAGAAGGGGAGGAAGAAATGCCATGAAGTACAACTGGAGAGGAGGTAGGGACTGCAAGAGCCTTGGTTCCAAAACTAAGGAACTTTTAGGCAATGAGAAGCCATCTGAGCTTCTGTTTGTTTCAATTTTTTATTTAAATTCTGGTTAGTAATATTAGTTATTACTAATATTAGTGTAATATTAATAATATTACACTAATGATGTTAGTGTAATATTAGTCTCAGGAGTAGAATTTAGTGATTCATCATTTATGTATAACACCCAGTGGTCATCACAAGGCCCTGCCTTTAATACCCATCACCATTTAACCCATCTGCCCACCCACCTTCCCTCTAGCAACCCTCAGACTGTTCTCTATATTTGAGTCTGTTTTATGGTTTGTTTGTCTTCCCTCCTACCCCCTACGATTATCATCAGTTTCATTTCTTGAATTGCACATATGGTATTTTCCATTCTCTGACTTATTTCACCTAGCCTAATACACTCCACCTCCACCCACATTGTTGCAAATGGCAAGATTTCATTCTTTTTGATGGCTGAGTAATATTCCATTATATATATTCCATTGTGTGTGTGTGTGTGTGTGTCCACACCACAACTTCTTTATCCATTCATAAGTTGTTGGACATTTGGGCTCTTCCCATAGTTTGGCTACTGTTAATAATGCTGCTGTAAACATCAGGATGCATGTGTCCCTTCAAATCAGTATTTTTGTATCCTTTAGGTAAATTCCTAGTAGTATACAATTGCTGGATTGTAGGGTAGTTCTGTTTTTAATGTTTTGAGGAACCTCTACTGTCTTCCAGAGTGGCTGCACTAGCTTGCATTCCCACCAAAAATGTAAAAGGGTTCCCCTTTCTTCACATCCTTGCTAACATCTCTTTCCTGTGTCATTGATTTTAGCCATTCTGACAGGTGTGAGGTGGTTTCTCATTGTAGTTTTGATTTATTTCCCAGATGATCAGTGATGTTGAGCGTATTTTCATGTGTGTGTTGGCTATCTGTATGTCTTTGGAAAAGTGTCTATTCATGTCTTCTGCCGATTTCTCAACTGGATTATTTGTTTTACAGGTGTTGAGTTCAGTAAATTCTTTATAGATTTTGGATACTAACTCTTTATCAGATATAGCATTTGCAGATATCTTCTTCTATTCCAAAGGTTGACTTTAAATTTTATTGATTATTGCCTTTGCTGTGTGAAAGCTTTTTATCTTGATGAAGTCCCAAGGGTTCATTTTTGTTTTTGCTTCCCTTTCCTTCAGAGACATCTCTAGTAAGAAGTCACTCTGGCCAGTGTCAAAGAGGTTGTTGCCTATGTTCTTCTCTAGGATTTTGATGGTTTCCTGTCTCACATTGAGGTCTTTCATCCATTTTGAATTTATTTTTGTGTGTGGTATAAGAAAGTGTCCAGTTTCATTCTTCTTCATATGACTGTCCAATTTCCCCAACACCATTCGTTGAAGAGACGGTCTTTTTTTCCATTGGCTATTCTTTCCTCCTTTGTTTTAATGGGAGTAACATGATTGAATTTCAGTTCTGGAAAAACAACTTAGGTTACATTATAGACAATAGACCAAGGTAATAAGACCTAAACTATGAAATGCAGTAGGGAATAGAAATCAGAACTTGAAATCAAGAAACTCCTGAAGATTGGGTACTGTGCTGCATGCTTTACATGTACTTTGCCATTTTAGGAATAAATAAGGAGACTTAGGCTAGAGAAATAACCCCTGCTGTGACAGTGCCAGGACTTAAACTCCTGTGTGTCTGACTAAAGGCCATGCTTTATTTATAACACTGTGCTAGAGTCATACTGAACTTTTCACTGTTGTCAAAAATGCTGCATATATTGGTACACTGTATCTTCCAAATGCCATTTTCTTTGCATAAATTATTCTTACTCTCTTCTTTGTCAGGCAAACATCTCACAGTTCAAAACACATAGTTTCACAGTCATCACTTCCTTTTCTCTGAATTTGCAACATTTTATGCATATATTACTATACCTCTCAAAGCACTATTATGATTTTTTCAAAAGTGAATAGACCTTTCTTTATGTTTTTAAATTGCATAGGTATTGAATGGTGCAGTCATCATGCTCTATACTGTTACTAGGAATGAGATCCATTTGCCATATCCCTATCACAATTACTCAAAATCTGAATTTTGCATTGTTATTTCTTTCTTTGGCAGGGTGGGAAGCTGGTATTTTACTCTTAGCTTTAAAATAGCTGATATATCTGGTTTTTGTTCATTTTGCATTGAATATATCCTTTAGAAAATCCCTGTTTGTTCTAAAAAGATTTTCACATATGCATTTGAAATGTACATTTCAAAGGGAAATGTAGCAGCTAGACTAAAATTAGTATGGGTTGCAAAATTTTGTGGCAACCATTATAAATGATTTTTCAATTATTAACATGACCATTAATTTTTTCTAAATTAAAAAATTTGATTTTTCAAAAAAATTTGATTTTTCCAAGGGAAAAATATCTGTATTAACACTTTCAGGTTCATGGATCTTTTGTTCATATAGATCATATAGAGAACATTAATGTTAACATTTTAAAGGCATTGCATAGTTTTCCCATATGGGGAAATTTTGTTAAAATGAAGGGAGATTTTATAACTAGAAATGTATGTGAAATAACAAATGATATTATATGGTCTGTATTTATACCAGCATTTTCCAGAGAAGTTTCCTCAATACAATTTCAAAAGATGCTTTTGGCAAAAACTTTCTGAAGACAATTAAGTTTGAGTAAAACCCAATTTATCCCCATCTTGCAGATTCACATTGTACATAAAAACAGAAATCCTGCAGGTGTGTGTGTGTAGGGGGGCAGGGTTGTATTCTTGGTAGGGTTCCTTAATTCATTTTTTCCCAAACTGAATTGACCAAAGAATTCTTCACATAAACTGTTTCATGAAATTCACTTTGGAAATTGTTGGCCTTATATCATGAATAGTAGAGTTCATGGAGATTCTGAAACATGGAACAAGATTATAGTATGTACATATATATATATATATACATATTTGTATGAACTTTCACTTTACTATTTTCTTAATATTATGAACTTTATTTGCCATGGATGAACAGCAGCATCAGCTGGGGGGAAAGCCACTCCAAAAGAAAACCAGACTGGAAAAAATCAAATTGGAAATTCTGAAGTTCCAGGATCATTGGAATCGAATAGTGATTATTTTAGCAAAAGAAAAAGGTAATTACTACAGATGTTGATTCTATGTGTCATAGTCTAAACTATAAGAAAGAGATATCCAGAGTACTGTTACAAGGACTTCTAATCAGAACAAACATATGAGTGAAATTAGTAATATTTTAATAAAAATAACCTTGAATCTAATCTCTACTGTTATATATGAATATTATAATAATAATCCAATATAATCAATAATTTATCACTTAAATTTATTTCCATTGTGATTATTTTATCAGGGCAGTGTAATGACAGAAAAATTTGCCTTTATTTGACTTTCTTAGAATTAATTTTTCTGCCTCACTTGGATTCTAGGTTATGGGTAAACTAACCAGCATGCTTGAGTTTCATATGGAATCATTTCATTCAGAATTATAGTATTTAGACAACAGTTTTGCACATAGTATTTTGAAATTAAGATAAGGGATTTTATAAACAATCATTCGCAAAAGAACTATAAAATGTTTCCAAAATTTTTAATTATTTTACTTTGCTATAGACAGTACAATGTGATTTGAATTTAGCTGTAGTAAATATGATTTTCTTACTCATACTAAACATAGTTTGTCTTGATCATTAATCAGTTTGAAAGACAATATGCTATTGGTCTCAGGCTTTTTAAGGTTTTAATGTTACATTTGTGTTTACAGAATATCAAGTAAGATATGTAAAATGCAAAAAGCTAATGTTCATGGAATCGTTTTTTAACATGACTTTCAAATCTGTCATTCCCTTTAAGTTCATTTCTTTGGAAAAATGAAGATGATGGAGTTAATATCATTAGAACAGAGGACAATCAGGTATGACTTTAAAATTTTTGTTTAAATGCAATATTGCAACAATATTTATAACTACAAAACTGCAGTGTAAAATGTTTACGGTTACAGTTAGAGGATGGGAGATAAGCCTCAAGAAAGTTCAGGAGTCAACCATTTCAGTGAAATTTTTGGGTGTTCCATGGTATGGGTATATTGAGGTATGCCTTGTATAGTGAAAGTGAGGTTTATATATCTTGCCCTAGTTTTCACTGAGAATCAGTCATTTGATGGACCTCTTTGGAATTTGGAGAAAGATTTGCCACATTTAGATGTGCTGCTTCAGTTTTGGGTTTTTGTTTGGGTTTTTTTTAAATCAAGTAATCTAAAAAACTGCCAACTTTGGGCCCAAAGCAAGAGAAAGTTCAGGAGGTGATCTGAGAGACACTGCAAGTTGCCACTTGGGTTTTAAAGGTCAGGTCATACAGTGCTGGCTGATGTGTAGTAGACTGGAATGCTGAACGGAGTCTGAGGCAAGCTCTGGTAGGAGAATCACAGCTCAGAGCCCTTGGGTTTTAGAGCAAATAAATGTTCTGTTGTTTCTGGATATTAATAAAACATGCTATCTTCATGCTTTAAAATTTTTGACAGTCTAGTGGATGCTTAATGCTATCCATGGTTTGAATTTTAATTTCCCAGATTATCCGTAAAATTGATCATGCTTTAATAATTTTATGGACTCCATTTTGGTAACTTTTTGAAAGTACCTTTTCAAATGTTTCTTTTGAGTTGCTTGCTCTATGTTTCTGATTAGTATGTTTTTTTTTTAATTCCCTGGAGGTATTCCTTTGATGCTTTGCTATGCTGCAAGTATCCTCCCCTACTCTGTATCTTGTTTATAGTCTGTTTTGCTGAATGCCTTAAGTATTCCATATCCTTATTTTTTTCCACATTCTTTTGCTAGGTCTTAGACTGAGAATAGTATATCAGAATCTCCTTTTATTAGTGTGTTACTGTTTATCCTTACATCTTCTGTGGTTTCTGATTTACTTAGATTTCTCTGTTATTTGGGACAAAGTTCTAATTTGAATACTAGGATCACTTTTGCACTTTTTTGACTCATTTAGTGCTTTTTTTTTTTTGGCCTGAATTCTCCTTTATTTCATATCAAGATACTAACCTGCTTTCTTTTATATACATTTATTTGGCATACCCTCATCTTCCCTCCCCACTTTTTTCCCACCCTTTCTGAATTGCTTTATTTTAGGTATGTCTTTTTTTCTTTTTAAGATATTTATTTATTTGTTTACTTGAGAGAGAGAGAGCACAGAACGAGAGAGAGCAGAGCAACAGAGAGAAAAGAGAGAGCATGAGCTGGGGCGAGGGGCAAAGGGAGAGAGACAAGCAGATGCCCCATTGAGAGGGGAGCCCAGTGCAGGGCTTGATTCCAGGACCCTGAGATCATGACCGGAGGCAGAGGAAAATGCTTTACTGACTAAAACACCCAGGTGCCCCAGGTATGTCTTATATGTACAGCCTAGATAGAGTTGGGTTTTACTTTGTGAGACAGTCTGAAAATATTTTTCATTTAGTAGGTGAGTTATGTCTACTTATATTATTGATGGGACTGATGTGTTTGGAGATTTGTCATTTTATTTTATGTTACTATGAGTTAGTATGTAGTTTATTTGTACTTTTCTCCCCCTCCTCGAAGGTTGTATTTTTGTTCTAGTGTTTATCTTTACACTAATACATTGATGGCTAGTATTCTTAGTATCCTCCTTTTTCCATTTTTAAAAATGTATGCTTCTGCTTTTGATTTGTTACCTTTAAAATTATTCACTGACTGCTGTTATATTCAGGGCAATCAAAAAAATCTCCTTTCTTCTCTCATGTATTTTTAGTTATGTTATTTCTACTGTATCAGAGAATATCGCATTTATATACCATATTTCTAGTCTTATGCCCTCACCTTTTGTTTTAGTCGCAGATTGTAGTTAAATATATTAAATACTTACTGCAGAAGATTTTTCAATCATCTCTTGGTTGGATTAAGCTCAATTTAAAAAAGCACCTCATTGTAATATTCTCTTCTTCCACATTTAAAACTTTGAGCAGAGTTAAGTAAACTGGGGCCTGGAGACTGTTTTGTAAGGCCTTGAACCTAAGTGTGCTTTCTACATTTTTTAAAAAAAGATCTTATTTATTTATTTGACAGAGATCACAAGTAGACAGAGAGGCAGGCAAAGGGGAAGGGAAGCAGGCTCCCCGGTGAACAGAGAGCCTGACGAGGGACTTGATCCTAAGACCCTGAGATCATGACATGAGCCGAAGTCAGAGGCTTAGCCCACTGAGCCACCCAGGCGCCCTGTTTCCTACACTTTTAAGGAATTGAAAAAAAAAAAAAAAAAAAAAGAAAAATCATGACAGAGACCATATGTAGCCCACAAACCCTAAATTACTTAGTCTCTGGCCCTTTACAAAATGTATTAATCCCTGCTGTAGAATTTTGATACCTGAAGGATAGCTTGATTGGGTATTACATCCTTAGCTTACATCTTTTTTCCTCTCAATTTCTTTGAAATATTGCTCTACTGATGTCGTTTTTTTATATGTTACTAATAAGTGTGGTGACTGGTTTCCTTTTCTTTGTAAACTAGCTTGTGTAGATTTGTCTGGAAGGCCAGAGGATTCCTTTAATGTGTACTAGTTTTACCAGACTGTATCTCAATTGAGAATTCTAGGTCAGGTATTTCTGTGTACACAGTGGATTCTTGCAGTGTGAAAATCAGGACTTCTTTATATCAGGAATGTTTTTTAAAATTATAATTTCAAGGGCGCCTGGATGGCTCAGTGGGTTAAGCCTCTGCTTTCGGCTCAGGTCATGATCTCAGGGTCCTGGGATCGAGCCCCACATCAGGCTCTCTGCTCAGCAGGGAGCCTGCTTCCCCATCTCTGCCTGCCTCTCTGCCTACTTGTGATCTCTCTGTCAAATAAATAAGTAAAAATCTTTTTAAAAATAAATAAAAAATAAACAAAATTGTAATTTCAGAAAACAATTCAGATAGCAGATCCATTCTGTTGTTTTGTTTTCTTTTTTCTTCTTTACCTTTTATATATGTTACTTTCTCTAAATAACATATAAAATAGATATAAATAAAAATAGTAAAATAGATATATTTTACTAAAATAGGAAAATAGACATATTTTACTAATTTTTGTGTTTCATATTCTTTGCTCCTTTTATTTGTATTCTCCACTATCCTTTTCTTTTTGGCCATATTTTTTTTCCTTTATTAGATACTAATTTATTCATTTCTGAGACAATTTTGTTTTTCCTTTCATTTCTTTTTTCAGTTCATCTAGCTTTCATTTCACATCTTCCTGTTGTTTTTCCTATTTTATTCTGAGTTTTAAAATTTCTGATTTATTTTGTTTGTTGGTATCTGCAAATGCTTGCTTAATTATGTTTAATCTATATTGGAACTATTGTTAAGTCTTTCTCTATTTCATGGCTGCCTATTTTGTTTTGTCTAAGTTCTCTGTTTTGAGGGTTTTAAAAAATAAATCTGTGTGAATGCTAGATTATTTTGAGATATTGTTTATGTTTACTTGTGTTGGATTTTTCCTGTAAGTAATAACAGGTGTTCTTACAGAGGACAGGGAATGCTCTTTGGTGGTTTCTTTTGCTTCTTAGATCAGGAGCTCCCTCTTCTGTTGCTCTAGTGAAGTGCAGCAATTTATTTTTAAATGGGGTCTTTTGTGTCTATTTTCGTTGAATACTCTTATACTATTTAATTCAGCAGAGCTCTCTTGGCCACTTTCCTTTCTTTTACCATTTGGCCCTGAAGAAACACCTCTTCCAATTACTCTCCTCTCTCCTAGAAGCTGTCTTCCCATAATTACCACCTCTGGCCCCCTATATTTTATAATCCCTGTCTTTTGGCCTCCTCATCAAATGCTCTGATTTATAAGATCTTATCCTTACTCTCAGTATTTCTTCTATGCACATGGGGTCCTGTCCTTCAAGACTAAATCATGTTTATTGTGTTATCTTTGTATAGCAGTCACTATCTGCTTGTAGGTGGGCTCCTGAGCACACTCACCTCATCTAGGGTGTTTATTTCCCCATGTATATGTAAAGTAAAGTATGTGTGAATTAAAGGAGTCTGTGTCCTACTTATGCTGTAGACATAAATTATGGGTAATTTTATTTGCTTTCCTTTTATAGTAATTGGGAAGATATATGGAAAGATTGTAATTTAGGTGGTTGCCATTATTTTATTAGAATCTGAGCTTAATATTAAAAACTAGAAAAAGAACAATAAAACAAAGGAGGAGTAAGGGCTTAATGAAGATAGGAGAAACTAAGAAGTTACAGAAATGAAAAACCTAGCAGAACTGAAAACAACTCAAGATCTATGACGCGCTAGTGGGAAAAACATCAACATTGGTAAGGCTTAAGGTATTTTATCATAAAAGGGTGGTAACAGAAAAGTTAGGAAAGGTGAAGGTGATACAAACACAAATACAGAGCAGATAAAGTATATGAGAATAAAATATTTTCTAAAATTTGAAAATGTAATACATTTCCTAATTTTCAAAGTAGAATATAAATGATCAAAGTTGACCCAATTTAAAAAAAAATCAGTAGTCATCTTAGAAAAATTTTAAAGTTATAAGTAACTAAGAAATCTTAGAAGGAAATCATGTTTAGGAAGGATTAATGGATTCCTTTTTTTTTTTTTCACTCTTAATTTTAAATGAAGTGCATGTATATAATGTCCAAGGAATAGTGGAATGGAGAAACTGAGCATGAGAGAGAATCTATAGTTATAAATACAGATTTGGGAGTTCATCACCATATCAGTTAAAAAAAAAAAGCATTGCTGTTGTGAATTATCAAATGCTTACAAATAGGTGAAAAGTAATGTGTTATCCTACCAGATCCTACTGATTTTCATGTTTGCTTACAGATAGATAAAAAAGAGTGTATCACCCTACCAGATCTTATTGATTTTCCTTCACTTCCTTGTCAACTTGCTCTTTCTCCAAGAATAATTGATATATCTTTATTACAGAATGAAAGTAAGTATGTTGACACTGTAAGTACAGATGATTCTGTGAGGTAAAGTTAAATATTAATGGAAAGTATTGCCTACTGGGTAGAGAGATTCGATTTGGGAAGATAAAGTTCTAGAGATAGGTGGTGGTGATGGTTGCAAAGCATCATGAATGTACATAATACCACTGAACCGTACATTTAAAAGTAGTTAAAACTGTTGATGTGTATTTTACCACAAAAATGTTATTTTAAAATATGTGAATGATATGTTTTTACTGCATATGTTTAACAATCACTAATGTTACTTGTGCTTTTAAAAATATACATTTTGAGGGGCACCTGGGTGGCTCAGTCTGTTAAGCATCTGACTCGTGATTTCCGCTGAGGACATGATCTCAGGGTTGTGAGAGTGAGCCCCACATTGAGATCTGTGTTCAGTGCAGAGTCTGCTTGAGATTTTTCTCTCCTCCTCCCTCTGCTCATACACACACACATACTGTCTCTCTCGAAAATTAATGAGATTTTTATATATAAAAATACATCTTTGATGTAAGAACAATAAGTCTAGCTCAAAGATAAATTTACCAAAAGAATTAAACCAAGATGCATAATTACTTTAACTTTACCTAATTTCTACACTTTTATGTAAATGGAGAAGAGACATACTATATTCTTTACATATCTGAAAATCCCCTCATTGTGTTCCTGTTAGAAACTGAAATGACTCCTCAATATTTTCCATGGTGGCAAATGCTATACTAAAACAAAAACAAAAACAAAAAAACAGACTTTGGGGTAAAATTTACTCTTGCTATTTTAAGTACTCTTAAGTTAGACACCTAAAAGGTTATTACCTTTTAGGAGAGAAGATTATTGAACAGATGAAACAAGTAAAGGAAGAAAGAAGATATCTGGAAAGAATTAGAGAAGAACTTATAAAAAAAGTTGAAAAGCTATTTGAACAAAGTAAACTGAAGCGATATCATGGTAAAGTTTATTACACCTTTTATCACTCTTTTATCATTAACATGCTTTACAGAAAGTTTTTTTAAATTTAAGTTCAAATATTTTTTGTAACTGGCATTCATTTATTCATTATTGTCTACTGAATTTAGCCACTGTTCTAGGGGCTGAGAAAATAATAAGCACACACAATTTTGACTCTGCCCTCAATGAGCTTATAGTCCAGTGAGGAAATGATAATCAGGAAAACAATGATGCATCCTGATGATGCTATGTTAAAGGAATTACAGAATTGTACACCTAGAAGTACAGAGGAAGAACACCCAAATTAGATGGGAGAGATTAAGAAAGGCTTCCAGGAAAAGTGTTAAGGATGCTAGAATCTGAAATGTGCCTCCTCTTGCCTGTAGGCCTTCAGACGTGTTTTTCCCTCTGCCAGCTACATCTTCTTTTCCTTTTATCTCCCCTCATCCCAGGTCACCTGGCTTTTTCCTACTAATCATTCAATCTCAGCTTAGGTATCAGTTACTCTAGAAGCAATCTCAGGATCTTAGTCTTCCCTACATGGTTAATTTTGCGGTATGTGTCTATCTGCTTTGAGTGAATGAATGAATGAGAAAAATTAGGTAGAAAAATAGCTTGTTTTCTTGCAACAGAATTAGAAACAAGTGTTATAGGGACTGGTAGAAATGGAAAAATGAGACAGAATGGAGAAAGTATGGGATAATGGTTTGAGAGATGTTGAAGGATTTGAAAGGACTACATTTTGAGTTGTATTTGAGGATTATATGAATAAAAGGTATATATGGAATTAACTGGTTTTAGGATCCTCAATTTACAGCAAGACTATTTCTTCAGTACTATAACTGACTAAAAGTTACAGACAATGTCAGAGATACTTCTGCAGGCTCTACCTCATAATACTAAGTGTTATTCTGGAAATGGTGGCAATGACTCAACTTTGTTGTACTGTTCAAAGTGACTTTATCAGACAAATTTGAGTAATGGACTAAAAATCATAGGACCAAGATTCTAATACCAGATCTATCTTTTACTTATTTCTTCTCTTTGTGCCTCCATTTTTCTGTTTATAAAATGAGAATGATCATTCACTTTCTATTTCAACAGGAATGTTTCAAGATAGAAGGCATGTATCAGCCATCAAATATTTATTGAGGTTATGTGCCTCAATTCCCTACATTGTTTTAAATGTTGAGGTACACCAGCAAACAAGATAAACAAGGCCCTGCTCCTAAGGAGCTTGTTTCTAACGGGAGGAGACAGAGAGTGAACAAATAAGACAGTATGAGCTACTGACCAGAGCTAAGAAGTCAGTTAAAAGAGCATAGTAAAGGGTGATGGCACAGTAGTACTGCTTGAGCTAGGGTTTTCAAGGAAGGCATCACTGAGGCGGTGTCATAAAGATGTGATTAATAAGGAGGCAGGCAGATAAGGAAATAGGGGGAAAAAAAGTCTGAACAGAAGGAACACTAAAATGTCAAGGTCCAGAGATGGAAACGAGCTTGCAGTAGTAAGGACCTGAAATAAGGCCAGTGTGGCTGGAACAAAATACAGAATAATGTAGAGGAAAATAAATTCAAGAGGTCAGCAAGGAACAGATAACCACATTCAAGAAATCTAGATTTTATTCTAAGTAAGTTGGGAAGCCATTGGAGGATTTTTAAGCCAGAGGTTTATAGGATTTTAAAAATATTTTTAAAAGATCAGAATGACTGCTATATGGAATAGCCTGTTCTGTTTAGAGGGGCAAGAATGGAAGCAGAGAGACCAGTTAGAAACCTGATGGACTTTCAAAAGATGATAGTGGGGGTGCCTGGATGGCTCAGTCCATTAAGCATCTGACTTTTGATTTCAGCTCAGGTCATGACCTCAGAGATTGATCCCCATGTTGGGCTCTGCGCTCAGAGGGAGTCTGCTTCAGATTCTCCCTCTTCCTCTGAGCACACATGTATATGCACGCTCTCTCTCAAGATAAATCCTAAAAAAAGATGATAGTGGATTAACTAGGGATATAGCTTTGAAGAAAGTAGAATGTGCCAGATGCTGGAAGTATTTTGGCAATAGTATCAATAGAACTTGCTGAAGGATTGGGTATAAGACATGAGGGAAATAAAACTCTTGAATTTTAATCAAATCTCCTTATAGACTTTTTAAATTGGGGTTTTCATTTGATAATCTTTTAAAAATAAACACATACTTTGATATAATAGCATGCCATTTGTGTTCCTGTTAAGTTTGTATTTAGAATCTCCTTGGTGTCAAAGTGATAGCCTAAATTGGCAGTATTAAGTTTCTAATTTTCTCAACTAAGGAGCTCAGATTTAAGAAATTCCTGCCCTATATAAATTTTGGTAATATATTTGGAATAATTTTAATAAGTGATGAGTCAGAATCAGCTTATTTTATAAAACATAAGTCATTTTGGAGGGCTGAAAAAACATTATGCCTTTCTCTGGAAAAAAGTGATCAAAATAAATACACACATTTTGCTATAGGTAGTATTTTCAATGAAGATTTTTCAGAAGTAATTACAAATTTAAAGAACTTCGTTTGGTTCCTGTGTTTATCACGACTATATTTGTAAGGCAAATCCTTTTATTATCTAATAAACATTTCAATCTTTGCTCTAATTTCGTCAACATATGAGGGAAGAAGGTTAGGGGAGTAGAAGGGTTTAAATTAACTCTAGGGTCCTTTCCAGATGGAAAAGTTTAACCCTTTAGTCAGACTTATACTATAATCTGCTTTTTTATAGCCTGTGATGGTTGGAAGAAAAAATATTTGGAAACAAAGAAAATCACAGCATCACTAGAGGATGTTTTAACAAAACTTAGAGAAGATTTGGAACTTTACTATAAAAAACTGCTCATGCAACTTGAAGCCAGGGAGATCAAGATGAGACCAAAGAATCTGGCAAACATCACAGACTCTAAGGTACTTATTACTAAATGTGTTCATATTATGTTAGAGACATTCTACTCAAAATACGTGGTTTATCATTGTTAGTATTATCATATGTAGGATGCTTTGGGCTACAGGTAACAAAACCTTGACTTAACCTTGCTTCAACAATAAGAAAATTTACGATCTCCTGTAATGGGTGCTGAGAAAATACCATCAGCAGCTTAATGATGTCTTTAAAGGGACTAGGTGCTTCCAGTAGTTCTTCCCTATTATTTTCAGTCTTGTCTTCATTATAAGACTGCTTTTCCTCATGGTACCAGTAGAGTTGCCGATAGCTAGTAGAACTATATGCCTCCCAATAAAGAACATATAAAACTTTTCCTTTAGCCCAGTGGGGGTTCAACCAGGTTGAACCTGGATTAATTGTAGTTATCAGGGAGTACTCGGTGTTAATTGAGACTACTTAGTATCTACTTCAGTACCTGGGGATAGGGTCACTTTCTTTGAATCTATGGGAGAGATGAATACTTGATGCAGTATGGCAGGGGTCAAAAGTCTGCACTACATTCCTTTTCTTTAGCTGGGGACTAGTTAATAACACCCACAGAATATAAAGGTATTGGTATTCTAAGAAAATTATTGAATTATATTTTGATTTTTTTTCCTGAGATAGTATTGAACCTTGATAGATCAGAGACATGAAGTTTACTTTTTTTTTTTAAAGATTTTATTTATTTATTTGACGGAGAGAAATCACAAGTAGGCAGAGAGGCAGGCAGAGAGAGAGAGAGAGGAGGAAGCAGGCTCCCTGAGGAGCAGAGAGCCCGATATGGGGCTCGATCCCAGGACCCTGAGATCATGACCTGAGCTGAAGGCAGAGGCTTAACCCACTGAGCCACACAGGCGCCCCCTGAAGTTCACTTTTTAATTGAGTTATTATGTATATAAACAAATAAAATCAAGGCCATTTATCAATTTTTGTTGGTTGACCAAAAAAGATTGTATGTTAATTATGATTAAGAGTATGGATTTGACTTTAGACATGATGAAATAGTAAAAGTTTGCTATTTTATTTTTTCCCAGTCTTATTGAGATATAATTGGCATATAACGTTAGGATAAAGTGATATATGTATAGATTATAAAATGATTCACACAATAAGTTTAATTATAAACTTTTTCCTGTGATGAGAGCTTTTAAGGTCTATTCTCTAAGAAACTTTCAAATATACAATACAGTATTGGTTTTTTATTTTTAAGATTTTATTTATTTAACAGAGTTCACAAGTAGGCAGAGAGGCAGGCAGAGAGAGAGGGAGGAAGCCAACTGCCTGCTGAGCAGAGAGCCCGATGTAGGGCTCAATCCCAGGACCCTGAGATCATGACCTGAGACGATGGCAGAGGCTTTAACCCACTGAGCCACCCAGGTGCCCCTGCAATACAGTATTGTTAACTATAGTTATCGTGCTGGGCATTATATCCTCAGAACTTCAGCCATTTCCCCTTATTCTCTACCAACCCACCCCCGGAATCTGTTCTGTTTCTATGAGTAAAAGTTTACCGTTTTAGATAAACCTAATGTAAAACTCAAATAGGCTCAAGTAATGGTTTGTCCATTTTAGCAGATACTTTTTATTTTGCATAGCTGATTTTTTTTGTTTTATCAATTTTTTTTTCACAATGGCAGCTTAAAATTTTTAATAGTTTTTGTGGACTACTATACTTCAAAACTTATCTAAACAAAAGTAACCAGAAAGTCTTCTTATATAAAATATAGTATCCCATTATTAAGTATTTTAAAGAAATACTAATCTGATTTAACTAAGAAAGTATAATGACAATTTCAAAAGCCTAGTATCTTAAACCAAGTATATTCCTTTTGTAGTAATAGTTCTTGCCTTTGTGGTGCTAATTTAATGGCAATTTGTACAGATATCTACTTATTTTTATAAAACATGAATAAAGGTGGTAGAACAGAAGAGAATGTGGTCCTTAAGACATAAGAAATTTACTCTAAGCAATGAGTTTATTTTATGTAATAGGTTATGATTTGCTTTTTTGAAATTATCACTTCATAGTTTACAAGGCAATACAAATAGATGTTTTACTAAATAAGGGTGTCTTTATGTATTTCACGCAGAATTACCTCATCATCCAGATCACTGAAGTACAGCATGCAATTGACCAACTTAAGAGAAAACTAGATACTGACAAAATGAAACTTATAATAGAAGTTAAGGTAATTTGCATTTCTCCTAATCAGATAACATTTATCTTGAAATAAATTGTTTTAGTGTTTTAATTTCGGGCATCAAATTTTTTTTTAAAGATTTTATTTATCTATTTGACAGAGAGAGAGAGATCACAAGTAGGCAGAGAGGCAGGCAGAGAGAGAGGGAGAAGCAGGCTCCCCGCCAAGCAGAGAACCCGATGCGGGGCTCGATCCCAGGACCCTGAGATCGTGACCTGAGCCGAAGGCAGAGGCTTAACCCACTGAGCCACCCAGGCGTCCCTCAGGCATCAAAATTTAATTTAGTGTAAGGATAGTGAGGATTGTCTTAAAATCATTAACAACCAAGAGCATGAGTGAGAAAAATGCAAGAATTAAACCCTGTGTAAAGGTGTAAAGGTTATAACAAGGCCAAAGTAAAATTAGTAGAATTTCACTAAGAATTAAAGGAAAAGGACCTTCTGAATCAGTGTAGAGTCTTAATATATGAAAATTACTTTTAAAGTATTAAGAGTCATCCATAAATAAGTCTGACAAACCACTGAATGCCATTTAATTTTTATTTCTTTACCTGTTCCGGGAGTTATTATCTCATGCTCTGATTATTTTCATATATATATATAATTATTTGAAAGCTCTAAGTTCACTTCTTTATCAAAAATAGATCTATGACATGAATAATGTTCTAGAATCAGAACTGTCCAATTAGAACTTTCTGCAATGATGGAAATGTTCTGTATCAGCACTAATACAGCAACCAGTAGCCACGTAAGGATATTGAGCACTTCGAAGGGTAGTTTGTTGTGTAACTAAGGAATTGATTATTAAATTTTATGTAATATAAGTAGCTACACGTGGCAGGTAGCTACTGTACTGAATAGTGCAGGTCTAGATTCTTTTCACTAGCAATGTTCAGTTAGGCCTCTCTCAATTTTAGAAGGGGAAGATGAAAGTTCATTTTTGAAAGGTGATTCTTTTTATAGATGAGAAAGCAAGCAGTCTCAGATTTATGCACATTGAAAGCTGAACTGGCACAGAAGAAAATTAACACATCTTTACAATCTCAATTAGGTATGTTAATTTATAACTTGTCAAAAAATTTAACTATTATTCTCCTTGGCACAGTAATTTATATAAATCATAAGTTTTATATATTTTCACTTTTCATGCAGGTTTTACAAAGTGTTTCAGGAAATATTAGATGCAAAAAAGCAAAATGGTGCCTATTTGGTTATTTTTGAAGCTTTTAAGTATTACATATTTTATAGTACTATATAATTTTCTCTTTTAAATAGAGACAGTTTGTTCATTGTATTTTAATTAAAAGCAATCTGGGAATATAAAATAGGGATATTGAACTTACATCCAGGCTATGATACAGATTAGTATCTAAGAATTTAAAATTTTAGAAATACAGACAGTAGTAATTCAGCTAATACTATGGAAAATGGTTGGTTTTTCTCTGTGATAACTGAGTAAATAGAAAATGAAATAGTCTCAATAACAGATGACTAGATCATCATTTATTCCAATTTGAAGGCAGGGAGACTATACAGGGAAGGCAGATTTATGTAAGACTAGAATTCAAGGAAGCAAATTTTTAATGTGTTTATAGGAACTAATATAAGTGTAACACAATATTCTTAATTACCCTGAAGAAGAGAACAGAGACCTCTGTACATTTAGAAAAATTTTAATTGTGCAGAGAAAATAACTGAGAAACCAATGTCCTTAGAAAATTAAAAGTAAAATGCCAATATAAACTAGTTAGGAAATAAATTATAGATGTTCATAAATGAAGGAATAATAACTAGAAGGGTAATTAAATTTTCTGCTATAACTTCATAAATATAGTTTCAGTGAAAAATGCTACTAATTCAAAATATTACTTATTTTAATCCTTATTTCCCCCTTTTGGAGACTTAATTAAATGAGTCTAGTTTAAGTGCATCAGCTTGATGAACCTAGAAGATACTAAATTGCAGGTTTTAAATTTATTGAACAAAAAGTATAGAGCAAAGTGCTTCTCAAAGTCTAGGTTTTTAAAAATTTTATTCTGAGCAAATAATTTCCACTTCCAATTATACGTATTTTTTAAATTAGCATAATAAAATCCTGAAAACAGTTTTTCCTAATTATAGTATTAAACATAAAAGAGTAATATAGAAAGTTGACTTCTTACCTTTGTTTTTAAACAAAGCATTTCTTTATCTGCTTTTAAGTAGAATAACTAAAATATGTGACATGACATTTGTATTCTCTTCAAGAAACTGATTTAAACTGATCATTTTTTCTAAATCTTAATAGTTTGACAGAAGATGTTTATCTGTCACAGCTTTGGTTGTAAGACTTTCCACATTTCTTCAGTTTGCTGTTTGGCTACAGCATCTCCAGAATAGTCAAGACAATTTGCGTGCCACATGCCAATGCCTCGTAAGCCATGCTTTTGTATGTATGCTGCCTTTAAAGAAATGCTCTGAGGGTCATCATACCACACTTGATGAAAATGGCCAGAAGAATCCTATAAGAATAAATTAAACTGTTCAGTACAATATTAAATCCAATGATTCAAAAAAGATACAATGAAGTAAATAGAAATTTTAGGGCACAGTACATTATGCTTTCATGGTTCTGTATGTGATACTTTCTAGATACGATTGTGGTACTTTCACAACAGCAGAGATTACACAAATGAGCTTCGTAATATGGTCTGTACTATATTTAAAGTCCTTCTCATGCTCTCGTTCCTTCATGCCCTGAGATTTCTTCCTTGGTCTGATCTGATGGTTAGCAACCAAGATGTACATCTGAGGCACTCATGGAGCTTTTCAAAATACAAATTCCTGGGACCCACATGAAACCTACTTAATCAAAATATTCTAGGGCTGGAACCTAGGACATGTCTTTTTTGTTTTGTGTTTTACTATCCCATTAGGTAATTCTGATATACAGACATAGTTAAGGAGGATCACTGCTATGGTCCTCTAAAATCAGCTTATGCGTTTTTTTTGTTTGTTTGTTTGTTTGTTTGTTTTGTATTATCTACAGTTCCCGGAAATTTGCCTAGTTAGGAGCTCAGGGGATGATTTTGTTTATGATGAATTTGCCAAATCAAAAGGTAATGGATGGGGAAAATATCTCCTTTAATAGGTCTTACAGAATTAAGAATCATAAACTAGCCTGTAAAGTCCTCCCCAGCATCAACTGCCTCTATCTAGTACTAACACCATCTCTCTTAGAAGGTAGGTATGCTTATTGGATAAGGGATAAAAGATGAACAGAACTAGGCAAAAAGGTTGAGGAAAAGAAGAAAAGAACTAAAAAATAGAATGGCCTGTGATTTAAAATAATTTACTGATTTTTTTTTAAGTTTTATTTATTTATTTGATAGAGATCACAAGTAGGCAAAGAGGCAGGCAGAGAAAGAGGGGAAAGCAGGTTCCCTGCTGAGCAGAGAGCCCGACATGGGGCTCGATCCCAGGACCCTGGGATCATGACCTGAGCTGAAGGCAGAGGCTTTAACCCACTGAGCCACCCAGGCACCCCAATTTACTGATTTTTTATATAACATCTGGGACACTTTCAAAGGCAGTTCTCAGTGGATACCAGTAATAGGTTGTTTATGGTAGCACCACTGGAATTAGAGTAGTCCCCTAAGATGATTAAATGAATAAATGAATTAGGCATTTGGTAAATGAATAAACTGTGGGGTATTTAAGTAGAGTCACTCACTACAAGCATATCTCACATTCTTTAAAATTTTAAATTATGATTCACTATTAAAAGGCAACTGTAGAACTTATTTTTGCAGATTTAGGGATAAACCCAAAGTCCTAGATCTCTGAATTTTGCCATTATTATGGCAAGTACTTTGAGCCTTTTTGATACTTTTAAATTTCATATGCCTCAAAATAAGGATGAAAAACTGAGTTAAATGTAAGATTAACATATGCATGATCATGGCATATATATGCTTTCAAGAATATTGAGTGCATGATGAAAGAGCATAAAAAAGCAGAATGATTCTCTTCAGTCACAGTAAGAAATTTGATTTTGCTTGCTATGGAATTTCACAATAAAAGAAAGAATAGTTTTATAACCAGATTGTTGTCTAAAACGCCATTAAATGAATGGCCTTCAAAGGCTTATCCAAATGTTTCCTGAATTCTAAAACTTTAAAGAAGGTGTTTTTTTCATCAAGGTAAAAATAAGTCAGGGACTACAAAAAGAGTATAAACTATTACACTGTTTGACAAAGACAGGAGTATAATATACCCTAATTTAATAAATATCTTAATTAGTTATATAATTTATAAGCCTAGTTAATGAGTAGGTATATAATTTTCAAGAGTTAGAAAGCTCTACATCAAAGCTTTCTGTGTAATCGATATGTATGTGCATGTCTGTATACCAGTTAAAATATTAAATATAAATGTTTATAGTTTTTTTCATAAATGGGTACCAGAATAATAAAGAATGTAAGTTCATATTGAAATCAACTTACATCATAACATTTTAGGGCTCCTTTCACAGTGACAAAATCTAAAGTAAATTTGAAGATGGTTTGTAATTAGATTTTTGAAGTCTGGAAAAGTCTCATTTATGAAAAATGTAACTTTTCTTTGCCTCTTTGGTATAGCAGTTCCTATTTATCAAACACTACCTGACAGAATTGCTCTGGTCATGTACTCTATTTCTTTAAGTTTCTGTTTATACCATTTCCCACTAATGCATTTCTTAGTCTCAGTATCATGCCTCCCTATAAAATAGTCTCATCAGAATCCTTAGGCTACTTTGACAGACCTAGTAACCTATTTTGGTCCAAAGCCACAGTTAATAATTATCAACTATTAAGGCAATCCTGTTTGTGGTAAGACAAGTGGCCCATGCAGAGCAGTTCCATTATTACCATAACTTGAACTGCTCACCAGCAAAGTAAAGGCCTGATTAGACAAGTTTACTCATATAAACAGTAATCTGTATATTGTACCCTAAAAGAAAATGGATAGAATAAAGGTTCATATTTTGTGAAAAATCTTACTTTGTAATTATAGTAAGAAGCCTGCTGATCTTTATCCCAGTGGCTTCCAGAAACAGAACTATTTACTTGCTTCATAATTACTTTATAGGGCACCTGATGTCCTGAAGTAATACCACAAGAATCCCTCCAGGAAGGGACTTTTGGAATGGTACAAACACGATCCTAGAAATACAAAAATGTTCATGTTATACATGTAAGCAAATCTTAGGAACCAAATCAGAAAAACTATATTAGAAATAAAATGTATACTCTAAACAGATGGACTATACAGTATAAAAGTTAAATTTCACTGAAATGAAATATATAATGCTCAGAAACTTCCATGGGATTAAATAATTTAAAAATAAACTACTTTTTAGTCTCAAACTTAAAACAGGCTTTAAAGAATAGGAAGAAAAAAATTATATAAGAAATAATCCTTACTTACCTCCAGTAGATTTAGACAGGTATAATCATAACCATACCAGGGAACACCCATTACAAGCTTCTTAGGGTTAATGCCCATCTTGATGTAGTCATCGTAGCCTAATCAAATTGGGACAGAAAAAGCATATGTTTTTCTTTTTATATTCTACTAAGTTTATACAAGCTATGCAACCATTCAGAAGCCAGGTACATTTATGCAAAATACTAATAATGTTTCCCTAACATGACATTCTAAACATTATCCCTTAAGAACTGTAAATTCTGTATCATTTGATAAATTATTTCTTTTTGAATAACAGAAAACATTCAAAAGGTCAAACTGAAGCACAAATTTCACAAAATTTAATTCTAGGAAGAATGACATTTCAGGAAAGCAAGCTAATTGTGTGTATTAGGTGCTAAGATATGTTTGGTATTCTAGATTCAGAAAAGTTCTTAAATTTTCTGGCAGGGATGGTCTAAGAATTTTTTTTAAAGATTTTATTAATTAATTTGGCAGGGGGGTGCCTGAGTGACTCAGTGGATTAAGCCTCTGCCTTCGGCTCAGGTCATGATCTCAGGGTCCTGGGATCAAGCCCTGAGTCAGACTCTCTGCTCGGCAGGGAGCATGCTTCCCCCTCCCCCTGCCTTTCTGCCTACTTGTTATCTCTGTCAAATAAATTTTTTTTAAAGATTTTATTTATTTGGCAGGGGGAGCAGGAGAGGGAGAAGCAGGCTTCCTGCTGAGCTCGATCCCAAGACCCCGGGATCATGACCTGAGCCAAAGGCAGACACTTAACCGACTGAGCCACCCAAGCACCTCTCAGACCTTTTTGTAGTATATTTGTAAAGCATGGAATACTTGTGCTTTCTAGAAGTATAATTACAGACAGGGACAAGATGTGCCCCCCTTTACTCTAGTCAACAAAGATAAAGATGAACAAATTCCTGGCCATTCCCTTTTGTGCCCAGTGTAAATTTGTTTTTCCACCAAGAATATTCCAAGATTAACTAAATTTGCTATTTTTCAGAGCCTTTAAATAAATATATGCTACATATCCAAATCTCAAACATACTTGATAATGAGCCTTGTATTGATAGAACACAGTTATCTCCTTTCTGAAACACAGTTTGGGAACACTGAGTTAAATAATTGCTTTGTAATTAGAATTTTTTAATTTTTAAATAACATATGCATATGATTAGACTATTAATTTGGATGTGATGAGGCTAGGCTTTAAGATTTTTATCTCTAAATTAAAAGGTTTTTATTTATTATCAACACTTAAATCAGGGCCAATTATCCCAGAAAATTTCACTTGACTTCAAAAGATAGCAAGCAATCTTTTATTCAGTTGGCTGATGGGATACTAATGCAAAACCCACATCATATGAATGACAGAAGTACTCTTAATTCTAATAGAATTAGAATTCTTAATTTTTAATTAAGAATTAATTTTAATATAGCATGAGCTTTAATAAATGCCAAGTAAGACAATCCTCTATCAATCATGCATAGTAGGTACTCACATTATAACTATCTTTGCTATTTGGTTACTTCAACAAAAATATCCTGTCAAATTCTAGATAAGCAAAGATCTCCTTCATGTCATTCTGGGAGAAGAGTGTTGACTTGAAGTTAGTAGTCAACTGCTTGAATAGCAGTGCAATGAGAACTTAACACTCATCATCTGATCTATTATAGAGGATTAATAATATACCTGTCCCACAAGATTTTTTTTTTAGATTTTTTTGTAATTTACTTGACAGAGAGAGGGGCAAGCAGGCTCCCTGCTGAGTAGAGAGCCCGATGGGGGCCTCGATCCCAGGACCCTGAGATCATGACCTGAGCTGAAGGCAGAGGCTTAATCCACTGAGCCACCCAGGCACCCTGTCCCACAAGATTTTTAAAAGAACTAAGTGAAAACTTTAGAATGTATAAACTTGAAAGCTCTCCAAATTAAGTGATATTCATGTTTCAAGGCAGCTTT